TATTATTAAAAAGAACTGAGCATTTAATTTAGTGATGGCGAATGAGCAACATTTGTGCATATACCTTTCAATGGGAAATGGCTTGGTCCATGCGATCCTGTAATGAAAAAAGATGTGTTTTATTTCACGGCTGATGTTTCCACATATTAAAATAAAATTAAAATTTATGTGATCATTACAAATGTTAAATTTTTTAAAATTGAAATTTATAATTTTATGAGTTTTAATTTTATTATCTATATATTTATTTAGTTTTTTCCTCTGTTTCTGTGCATCTTTCTTTAGTTACAAGAAGCCCAAACCTGTATACATGCTTTGCAATTAGAAATTAATCAGAAAGATGCTGTAATTTCTTCTCTTCAAAAAACTGCATCAGAATTATTTAAGCAGCAAAATTTTGCTGAAGTTGGAGTAACTGCTTCAGTGGTAATTTTTCATCTATTTATTTGCTTGGTTTAAATTTATGAATTTAGTATATTACAAAACTTCAGTAATACATGTTATTTTGTCTTTTTAAATTGATTCTTTAAATTTTGTAATTTACATTCCTTTGTATTTTGTATTAGTTTAATTTTTGCACTTAACTTCTTTTAATATTGTTACATGCGTACGTGTTTGTAATAGATTGAATGCACACAGAACTGATGATAGCTTGATAAAATTTGTGTTATTAAAAGAAACACTTCACAGTTCTGGAACCTTCACAAAAGTATTTTTACATCTCTACAGCTGTTCACAGTATCATATTCAAACTACTAAGAATGTTAAACTAAATACAGTGACATGTCCTTTCCATCTAAAGAGTGAAACTCATATACAGATGTCTCAATACTCCAAACTCGCGCTGAACTAAGCAACTACTACTCAAAAACTGATATTCTCCCTGGTTTTATATCATTTTCTTCCAGCTACTTGGAGATTTCTAGTTCTTTCTCAAAATTACTGGAAGGCATATGAGGGTCAGATACAGTTACAGGTGCATGTAGCATCAATTATAGTTATTCAGTTTACAATACCCATTACATTATATAGGAACAGGATTAAAATGTTGCCAAATAGTCGTCAAGTTTGAAATAATTATTAAAAGTTAATAATAATTGAGGATTTTTAATTAACAGTGAATTTTGATGTGTGGATGTTTTCTTTGTCTTGATGCAGTTCTACTGATTGATGGCACTGTGGGTAAAGAGAAGGTATTTCATATTTGAAAATTAGGTATAAAATATGTGCCTGGATAATATGTGTAGTTGGTTTTAGCATTTTTCATGACTCTCTTTACTTTTAATTTGACAAAAGTTTTTGAGTGTGAAGGTGCAGTTGCCCCTCACTCCCTATTTTTAACTTTGTTTATTCTTTGTCCTTTGTGTTACTTGTTCGATCAGATAGCCTGGCTCAGTAAAAGTAGGCGGCCAGTGTAACTCTGATTAAAATTCCATTTATAACCACGTGCAGTGCTGATAAGGACCACGTGTTTCTGAGACTCCTTCCCCTTTAGTTTTCTTCTTTCTATGTATTTCTTTCTCCTGATGAGGAGGGACCTTTAGCTGCCCTCGAAATCGATTGAGTGTTTCAATATACTTACGCTAAATACGGTTGTTTTTACGATTTAGATACCAATAATTTTCTTCGGAAAGAACAGAAACATAGCCTTCCACCCAAAGCTACTTTGAAAGTGCCATTCTGTATGAAAACAAAACTATTAAAAAATTTATCTAAAAATATATATGCAGTTAAAAAATTTATTGCACGTTTCATGAATGCACTGCTACATATTGAAACATTGAGGCTTTTCTATGTAAATGCATTAGGTTCCATGTGACGAAATTATCGCTTAACATTACCTTCCTCCCTTCTATTGGGCTTTGCCATTTTGAACAAATCATTTAAAATAAAATATTTTATGCTTTATATGTTTGATTTCTGGGAAATTCATTCTTAAACTGCTAGATTTGTAATTATTTTGCCTAAAATTTCTTCATGGGTTAAACTGAAATTTGCATATCAGAGATTAGATTGCAATTTATTTTTAATATTATGACTTTTGTATTAAAATTTGTTAGTTAAGTTATTAAATTTTTAATTATACAGTTGATTACAATTTTACTTGTATAGCCTTTATGGGGGCTTTCCCTAAAAAAGCAGTTTAACTTTGCAAAATTATGTTTAGTTTTACAAATTTACCTCTAATTCAAAATTATATTTATCTCATGTTGGGCTGGATTTGCATTTAAGTTAGCTTAGCGGATTTGGGAGTTTAAGATACTTTTTTAAGTTTATGGATTTATTTTATTGAAGTACATTAATTTAGGGTATTATTTCAACCATTTTATTCATTATATTTTCAGAATGTGCCAAACTTTGGCAACCATGTATATAACCATTCTTCAGGCAATTATGCTCATAACAATCCTAGAGTCAAGCAGCATTGTCATTTTCGTATGCATTCTCTTTGTTGTGTTCCGAGTTCCAATGGTATTTTAAAAAAAAAAAAAAAAAAAAAAAAAAAATCATTATATTGCTTGCCTTAAAACATAATTATAAAATATACACTTGTGGAATTTGCCAGCAGTGTAAGAAACTGCGTATAATTTCTAGAGGATGGCAAAATCTCTAAAGGGAACAACAAGAAGATACATTTGGTAAATAGTCATTATTGCCAAGGTTTGTACAATGCCATGTTTTTGCAATATTCTGATGTTGTTTTAAGGAAAAAAAAATAATAATAACAGTGTATGTGGAGAGTAAAACAGTATTAAAAAAAATTAGAGATTTGGTGAAAAATGTGTTTTATTTATTTTAATGTATCTCATAATCTTTCTTTAATAATTCAAACTTGTATGCATAAACCACCAACTTGCACCCAATAAATATTTTTTAACTTTTCAACTGTAAAAATGCCATATTATGCCAAGATTGTGGGTTAATGTGTAAGTACCAAAATTAGTTATTCAAATATTGAATTAAACTTGTTTCTTAATCTCAGAGCTCCTGCAGTTGCTTCAAAATACTTGATCTTCATCAATCTTAATTCCTGCTTTCGTTTCAGATATCAGTTTTTATCGAAGTTTTATTCTATGCATAACATTAACTTCAGTATAACTTCAATACTCATGCAAATTGGAATAGTCATGTTTATTTGGATCATTTTAATAAAATACCACCACAGTATTTCTGCGTAAAGTGTTGTGCACCATCTTGCTGCAACCACCTGTGTAGGTGGTAACCAGTATTTCTGAGAATACAAATTAACTTTGCTATTGCACATTTTCTGTCTGAGATGACATCTTCACAGGAAATCAAAATCTCTAGATCAATGAGTTTCTTAAGAGGATTTAATGTACGAAGGAATATCTAAAAATAACAATAATAATTTTTAGCAATTTTGTTATGCCTTACCTTTACACATTTTTGTCTCCTTCAAAGTGTTCTCTACCAGCACCAGTACTTACTCCAGTATTTTACTACTGCTAGAAATATGGAAACAGTTCTGGAATTTTCTGCAGAGCATATTATTCAAGGCACATAATGTATTTTCTTGCATCGTTTCTGCATCACTGAACTGCTTTTTTTTTCCAATGAATTGCGTTTTGAGAGCTTTCATTAACCATGAAAAAAGAAAAAAGCTATCCTGAGCAAGGTTTAGTGAGTAAAACACAAGCATTATGTGCCAGATGCTTAGAGTTACTTTAGAAATCTGGTCAGTGGTTTTTCAGCAATGTTTGTGAAGAATATTTCTTGAGAAATCTCTTCTCTAAAGAATAGGTAGATTTATATCAGTTCAATAAAAAATACCTTTTCCTGTAATATTAAGTGAAGCTTTTTTTTTTTTTTTTTTTTTTTTTTTAAGTATTTTATTATAATAACTATTCAATTTTTTAGGATGAACAGCCTACATGTATGGAACTTTTGCTGCTTGAAAAAAAAATAAACAGATAGATGATTTAAATCAGGAAAAGGAGCATTTGAAAGAAAAATTGCAATCTTTGCAACAGGAGTCTTCTGTAAGTAAATTGTTAAGCTCTATGGGTCTAAAGTAATTTAAGATTTATAAAAAATAATAATAATAAAAAAAAAAACTTGAAGTGACAATCAATTGCTTTGAACTAAAAACAATTATTACTTTAAACAGCTAAATATGGATACATAATATCCTATGTTAGAATATTAGAAATTTTTTATTAAATATAATAATGTAACCTTTCATAATCATAACTGTCAAAATATAACCAATTATGAAACACATACCTAATTTTTTATCCTAATTTATGTATAAAATAATGTGTAATCAAAACATATGAAATTCTCATTGCCTTTATGTACAATGTTTTGTTTCCTATTTACACTATTCAGAAATTATTAGATTAGACTTATATTATTTAGAAAGGTTTACATTAAGAGATTAAAGTTTGTATATACAAACTGATATTGTTTATAGTGATGTTATTTATAGGCATTATTTGTTGTATGAAACTCCTGTCAAACACCCTGATTTAACATTTAAGCATGACATAACAACATACTTATAAATTCTGCACTTTTTTTTTTATGTAACATGGATAATTTCTGAATAACCCACCTTTTATTTAGATAATAAGATATCAATTAATTGTTATTACTGAAATTTTTCCTTGCATTTTGGGGGGTGGGGAAAGTATTAAATGAGATCTGCCATCCATAGAACAGCAAGCAATCAATTACTTTCAAAGTCATGTGATCTTACCATACAAATAAATCAAAATTAAAATTAAAAAGTGCATGAATGGACACAGTGTAGCAGCTGAATATGGTCAGCAAAATAGGTATAGAATGGAACAATTATCTGAGGGAAATTTATGCTGATAACATTCTAAACAGAGCTTCCCAATAAACTTGAAACTAGAAAATGGCAAAAACTTTTTTATTAAGCATTTTGAATACTGTTTGTTTATGAAATATAAAGGCATTGGTCATTCAGAATTCTGCTGAAATGATTGGCAGGATTTCCGCCAACTTTCAGTTTGATGGGACAATATGTAAGTACCACTGTTTGTGTATATGGCAGCTATTTTACTTTTATCAGTTTTTAAATCTTATTATGTGAATTTTTAAGTTTTATGTATTAAACTCTATAACAAGTATTTCATTTTTATTATTTCAGGATTTAAGTATAATTGAAAAACTGAAGAAAGAATTGGAAATAGCAGCTGAAAATTCTGGAAAATTTCAAACTGAGAATTCTCAATTACGATCTCAGATAAAGAGTCTAGAAAATGAAGTGAAAACTTTAAAAGATATGCTTGAAAAAGCTGAGAAAGAAATTGAATCTGAAAGGGTGCAAGTGGAAACACTTTGTGAGGAAATAGCAAATATTAGTCAAAATTCAGTATGTTGTGAATATATTTTTCTGTTATTGTAATATAATTAGAAAAAGATTCTCAAATTATGTTCTCATTTGTATATTTTGTACTCATTTATATTCTAAGTTGCCAGTTTTAATTTTTGGAATGCATATGTACTGTTGCTAATGACATTATTTTCTCAAAGTCAATGAGTATTTGTATTTGAACAAATTGAAACTAAAATATGCATAAATTTCATGCTGTTAGATGTAGGTGTTAGTTATCTATTTGAAAGCTAGTAGATATCTGCATGTTCGTTTTGATGTAAAAATTAATGATCAAAATTTAATATAGCGTATTAATAAATTTTATACAAAAAAAAAAAAAAAAAAAAAAAAAAAAAATTTTTTTTTTTTTTTTTTTTTTTTTTTTTTTAAAGCGAGAGAGAGAGAGTGGAAATACAATTGTTGAAAGTGTTATAAGGGGAAGATGCCATGAAAAAGGTCAAGGGAGATTTTGTAGCATAAGTTCAGATTAACCTGAAAAATTATAGATTAATTCTGAAATAATTAATCCACTCTAAATCTAAGAGATTTTAAATTTAAGTTAAGAGAGCATGCAGCCAGGTTTTGGAGAGATATCTTAGTTAATTGGTGATGCAGTCTCAGGGCTGCTATAACAAAGAAGTACTGATTTTTTTAATTAATTTATTTTTATTGAAGGTTTCTTAAGAATAGAAATTACTATTATAAGTGATATTTGTGAGCAATGGGTTACTGATCAAGTGGCACTTTTTATTAAGAATCTATTTCCTTCTGATACATGAAAGTACTGTTAATGTGCTCATAAATAATAAAATACTATACTTTGATTGATATATTTAAGATATCACATGTACTTAGGCAATACTGACTGTCTTCCTTGTTATAATACAAAATTCATTATTACATTGAGTCCACCAGCAGCCGAGTGGTAAAGACGCTGGAATTCCATGGACGGGCTGGCTGCATGGTCATTTTTGTGGTTTTCCCCATGTGTAACATGTATATGAGCCAGTTTCCTTTAGAAAGTCCTCCACGAAGGCATACCTTCCTTTAGGCAGATAGCCCTCGTGTGCTTTCCCATAATTGAATAATCCAATCCAATCCATTATTATATTGTTTTAATTTCACTTTGCCCATTTTATAATAGAAATAATTTTAACTAAAAATTTTTTAGGTAAGCTGAGTGAATTTTTCAGTCAGTTACTTTTTTTTTCCCCTGGGTGTAAATTAAATTTAAACCTTTCTCTCTTTTTCCTCTGTTATTTCTCTTTTTGGTGTTTTTTATGTTATGTTACAGGATCCTTTAATTCCAATATTGCATTACAATGGTATTGTTCAAATTTTAAAGTTTTTATGAATCTGCTTCTTGCAAAAAATTTAGCTCAAAATCATATATGTAAGATCAGACACGTAGCTAGGATTTTCAGCTCCTGGGGACAACTGAAGATTTTGCACCTCTTTCTGTGTTCCAAGAATAGAAAACAATTCATTTTAAAATTTGTAGCGTCAATTTGGTGCCCCTTTGATGCTGTGCCTGTTGACAAATCTTCCCCCTTGCCCCACTCTAGCTATGCCACTGTCAAAGGTAATAGTTCTTATACTCAGAATGTGATGCTTGTTGCTGTCTTCTCTTGTGTATCTGATGGCACCATCTGCATTTGCTAGAGGGAATTATTTGTTGTTAAAGACTGCTATTAAGATTATTGCTGATTGGTTGGTAATAGATGGCACTATGAGTGGAAATTAGATGTTCATGCTACTATCGTACTAGCGGGAACTGATGTTGAGTTCAGAAAGTTTGTGACTTAGTGCTTTGAATGAACGAGCTAAAAACTTGCTCTGAAACTTGCATATGAAGACGTTGATATCAGTTGAAAGGAATAAAACTACTATGGTTTGTTGCTATAATGCCTCCTCAAAGTTTCATTTTGAGCATGTGTGCTAACAAATTGGCACAATTTAGGCACTTATCTATTTTGTTTGGTAATTTGGTAATTGGATTATAGGCAGAATAAATGAGCATTTGGTTGATATTACTGTTATATAATTGGCCATGTGAGAAAGGAGTGGTAATGAGCAACCAATCACCTTTTTAGGCCATCATTAAAGGAAGGATTGATGTCTTTCCTTGTTTGTCTGATAGTGCTATTTGCAATTTAAAATCAAAGCAATTCGTAATGAAATCAAAGAGATGCTCCTCAGACTCAAAGTATGGTAATTGTGATAAGGATTAAAATGGGAATAGAATTAAAAAATACATTGCACAGTTTTCTTCTCTTGAAGATAGCTGATAGAGTTATTGTCGCTGCTAGTTGCTGATAAATGGTTGGAGGTTGACATGGTGCTCTGCTATTGGCAAAGACTGATCTTACATGCTGTATTTCTGAAATGACTTGAACAATTGGGCTGAAAGTATGCTGTAAGCATGGAGGCTAAGGTGTCAGTATCATTTACAGAATTGATATACTAGCTATTCCTTATTCCAACAAAAAAAAAAGGGTGTTTTTCCATTTTGCTGGCACAAGCAATAAAGTCGCCGAAAATGGTACAAACGATGCCAAATGGAATATCCTTGCTGGTAACCTTTTACGCCTCATTTTCAAAACAAGTCGCAGCCATTTCTTATCAGATTGATTGTTTCTTTCAATACTGGCTTACAATTACATAGAATTTTTACCAGATAGTTCAATTTTATACCCTAAGGCCATTCGAGGTAATTAAGTCAATTAAGATGCAATCATACTGGCCACCCGAAGCTAAATATGTAGAAAAGGCAAAGTCAAGGATTAAATTGATTAATTCTAATGAGAATGCACTAGTGAAGTAAAACACTGTGGTTTTACATTATTTCTGAGTAAGCAATTCGTACAAATTGAAATAATTCTTGCATTAAAAACTTTTATTCCAAATTAAGATTTAACATGAAATAAATGTAGATAATTACTTAGAAAATTAGATTTTGTAGTGTAGTTTATGTGAAATGAGATCACTTAGGGTTACGTGGTATGAAACGCCGAATCAGGATACCAAAAAAGCATAGTAAATTCTTAAATTAATGTCTTGTTACAAATTTATTCTCTTTATTTATTTTCATTTTACAAAATTTTAAACGATATTAAAATGTTTATGCCTTCAAAATGAAAATTTCTTAGAACTAACATTTGTTAAAATTTTTTATGTGTATAATGTGTGTTGTCATCGCCAATGAAGTCTGCTTGGCAAGATTTGCACTGGCGAAACGGAAGAGTACCCAAAAAAGCAAATATAATATTTTTAAAATTTTTGCTTCATTTCATATATGTACATAAACAGATATATGCATGCATATAAATGAGAACATTAGAGTTGTGTATTCTTATCTTCACTTTTATAAACAAATCATTTAGATTTTTTACATATGTGTTACTGTAGTAAAAAAATGGTGCATATATTTATTTTGTACTGTAGATGAAAGGTGATTCTTTACTTCCCATTTCTGACGCAACTAAGTTGAAATTAGAGGCATTAGAAAAAGTTAAAGCGCTACTTACTAAAAAATTGGAGTTCTATGAAAATCAGTTGAAAGAAAAAAATATAGAGATTCAAAATTTGGAAGTTTCTGTTACACAACTTAAATCAACTTTGCAAGCCAAAGAAAAAGATTTGGAAATTGAACAGGTACAAGTGGATACTCTACTACAGGAACTTGGCAGTCTTGTTAGCTATCAGGTATTGGTGGTGGGATCTTCATGGCATGGTGCATGCAGACTGCTTTGCTGAACTTAATCATCATCTTTGAGTACATAGTACTTTATATGCATTGAAGTAGAACTGTACAGGAATTTTCCCTTTCATGCTTGCTTCTGTATCTTTCTGATTGCAGCAAGTCCTTTGTACTGCAGTTCTGTCTTTCTGGTTACTAATTATCTTCTTTAGTTTGATATATTCTCTCTTAGATCTGATTTTGCTTGAAATTATGTGAATCTTACCTAATACTCTTCTTAGCCGTGATTAATAAAACTAATATATAACATTTAAGAAAATAAGTGCTAAAATTTGGTCATGGGTCAGTGGATGCATATGTGTTAAACTTTCCAATAGCGATTCTTTTACTTTCCAATAGCGATTCCAGTGGCCAAGTTATTAAAACCATTAAAAATGATTATTTTGACCTGTGTTCAACTCCACGAACAGACTAATAAATGGGTCTTTTTATGGTTTTTCTCATGTGCAATTTAAGCCATTCATCCCCCTTAGAAAATTATCTGTGAAGACATCCTTCCTTCATCAGTAGTTATGTAACTGCTATGTATGTTATGCTGGATTTAAATAAATAAAAAAAAAATTAATGGGAAAAAATTCAGTGTATATTTTTATACCTTGAAAATATATACTATTTAATATATTTTAAATGAAATTTCATAAATCATATTCTTTAATGTTTAATACATTATATTTCTAAATTATTATAAACACGTGAACCAAAGCATAGCAAACATGAAAATTTATTTTTTCTTTTCTTTTATGAAAGTACATGCGAGATGTGTGGTGAAACTGGCACTGTATTTTGCAAAACAGTTTTGTATGTCATGAGTTTTGAATAATACCCTGAGGACAATGAGATTTTTTGTGTTTGTTCTTGATAAATGTTAGTTATAGTTTTATCAAAGAGTGGTAGAGAGTTTATCTAATTGAAATAGGATAATGAGATTTTGCTGTATAGTTGCTGTGGTGATAAATGGAAGAACACTGCAACCGTTTAGAAGTTTCTCAAAACATTTTGAAATAGATTTCTATCTGAGATCGACACTGTTTCATAGAAAAGAAAACCTATATGTATCTGGAAGTAGACTGAAATGGACACTTGCTTTTCCAAAGAACCAAAAGAGTCACATTAATATAGATATTTATTATAGTATTTAATGTGCGATGCTAACTTACATATTAGACTTGGATTGCACTGATTTTGTACTTAAAAAAGAAATGTATTAACTAGCCACTAGAGCTAAGATTTGTTTGTTTTCTTTTTAAAATAGTGGTAAAGTTCCTTTTTCTTATATTGATGGGTTAGAGGCAAATGAAGTTAATTTTTAATATGTGGCTAGAGCAGTGCTCCACAGTGAAATATTTTCAAAATGGCAGTGGTTTATATTATCATGGAAACAGTTAACTTTAAAATATATTTTTATCTTTTACTAGATTCATTTCAGATTTTTGCCAAATATTGTTTTATTTTTAATACAGTCTTTGAGAACTGCTATAAAATATAGCTCTCAGCATTAGCTGAACTGCTAGCCAGCAATTATATTGTTTGGTAAGTTATTGTTTATAGTAAGTTGGTTAATAACTTCAGATAAATTTAATTAAAAAAAATAGAGTTAAATGATTGCTTAGTGTTAAATGATTGCTTAGAAACTAAAGTTTAATGCTAATTAAAGTTTAATGTAATACAAATTAAATAGTTACTGTATGCAATAGCATAGTGTAATTTGATTATGCGCAGTAACTTTATTTAAAAGAATGGGCAATGAATCCTAGCTTATGGCTTTTGCATAAATATCTTAATTGTAAGAAATAAATCTTTAATCATTTAGTATATGGTTAGTGTATTGCTAATTTAATACAGCAAAAGTTATTATCCATATAGTATAGGTAAGAGAAGTGGAGTACTAATGTGGACAGCTTAATTATGTAAATTAAATTTTGAATTTTCTTAAGCACTCTTTTATTTAATTAATCATTCACATAATGAATGAAAAGAATGACACAGATTGAGCAAATGAAGGGAATAGGAAAACCAAATTAAAAATATAAAACTTAATGAAATAATAAAAACTGTACAATGCTTTTACTTATCAAGCTTTAAAAATACTGCAGCTGCTCTAAAATGCATGCATTGCTTCATTCTAATGTGTGATTGAAAACTCTTACTAAACATATATTGTTCTTTTTTTAATGCTGTTCATTTAATTAATTGAACATACTATAAAATGTAACTCATTGTGTAATTTTGGAACCTACTGAAAAATTTATTTTTATAGATTTTCTGAATGTTACAGCATAAATTGTGTTTTAATATAATCTGATAATAAGAATTACAGTTTTATTTTATTCTCAGCTGCAAAAGCAAATAGTTCATTTCTTGTTTAAGTATTTTAGAGATCCTAAGCACCTAAAAAATTTTTGTGCCTTTACACATATATATATATATATATAGTATAATTTCTGTCCTTTTCCTCATTCATTCTGGTCTTGATTTATCTGCACCATTCCATGTTAAAATTAGGAATGAAAACATTTTGAGTTGTCCCTTTCCTTGAGTCCCTAAGCATCTTTTTTATGGTCTCCTCTTTTCCTGATGCCCTATGCAAAGGATTATTTTGCTTAATAGGTAATCGGGATCTAAAGTGGTTTGTATTTTGTAATTCTAGAAGAGATAAATTGCTTTGAAATAATCTCTTCTTAATGGATTCATTTTGATATATAAGCAGTTTTGAATGATTTTTAGTTAAAATTATGACATTTCATCTTATCTCAAGTAAAATTTATAATGTATTAAATTAATATTTTAAGATAACACAAGTTAGTTTAAAGAATTCATTTATTGATTTTTATTTTCATATTTATAGCACTTTCAAAATTTCTTTGGTAATGCATATTTAAGGCACTCCAGAGCTAGAGTGAGATGAGTAAAAATTTCAAGTAAATATTCTTGTTACATTGCGTCTTCAAACTATTTATTACTTTTGCAGAGAAAGACATGTAAAATATAGAAGTCGGTTATCAGTTCTTCTGTGTTATATTGTGTATAAATACAGTGAGCTTAGCAGGCATATCTTATGCATGTAAGTGACAAGTTCATATCATTAATGAACTAAATTGTCTATGTACATTATGTCTGGCTATACTAATTGCCATTTTTAGTTTAGCTAATTTCCTCACTATTGAAATAGGTCATTGACTCAAAATAATTACTGAATAATGTTGCTGGTGTAGTTCTTGCTCATATTCATGACCGCTTTTTTTTTGTGTGTGTGTGTGTGTTCAAACATATAATTCATAAAATTGTCATATTTTAATAAATGTTAAAAATTTTGTTTTTATTAGAAGCGCCTTGAACAAGATTTTAATATTGTACAAGACATGATGCATCAGAAAGAAAGAGAGCTTGAAACTTTGCATGAAGAAACTGAGGCTCAGGTATATAAATTAGCAATTAATTATTAATAACTAATTTAAAAAATAATAAAAGAAAGCTGCAGTTCCATTTTTTGCATTACCAAATTTGAACTTTTTCTAGTCCATTACTTCTTTTATTTTATTCATCATGCTGCAGAGGTGAATCATGCTGCATTTAATTCATTTTGCTGCAGAGGTGATTAGGAATTGCCTCTGTTGTGACACTTTGAATAGCAAATGAAAGTTTCTTTTGGAAAGAAAGATTTAACTTTTAGTAATATAATTATTATGAAAAGTATTGTTTGGAAATTGAAGTTATGTCTTCTTTTTGAAATATTATATATATATATTATATATTATATATATATTATATCTGAATGATATTGTAAGAAATTTGAAGTCTGGAACCTGAATGCAAATATTATCTCAAATCTGGTAGTATTATGTAAATGAAATACATGAAGTAAGTTTTCTTTGCCTGCGTGTTCCAATAGATTCATTCTATTTTGAATAAGCTTTCAACAGTATAAAGGCAGTTGTCCCATTGATGAAACAAGTTAAAGTTCATTTTCTGTTAGAAGTTTGTTATCTGCTGTATAAAATGCTGTAAAATTGTTTAGCTTCTGACTTGCTTTGAATTTTGAAATGAACTGAACATGAAATTGAATTGCAGGATATCTTCATCCAAAATATCTGTTTATATTCTAATATATGTCTTAGGACATCAGACTTCTGCTCCTTAACCACTTGCACTATGACTAAACTTCACGGTTGCGGTGCCGTGCGCTACAATATAACAAGCGGTAAAGTGTCTCATTTACCCGCTCCGCGTCTGCAAGTGCAATCCAGAGCTTTAACTCGAGAAATAAACAATCTCGTTGTTAGGCTACGTGTGCACCACATTATTTTCATTTTTGCGATAAATGCCTATCAACGTTGTGTTCACGTTGCTTGCGGTTTGAGACAAAAGCATCTCGACGTGCGTGGCATGTCTTTTTAGCGCAAGTGGTTAACGGAGTGTGTTGATATGCAGAAAATGTCTTCAAAATTAAACTTAGACATTTCCTCTGAATTGCTTATTGCAACAGCTCAAATTATTGCAGCACTTTCTTTATATCTTTCTACTGCCAAAGAAAGATATGCGCATGCTGGTTATTTGGTAGCAGCAAATTTATTAATATGTTTACTACATATTTCATACTCAGTTCTGAATGCAATGACAATCTGATTGCAGTTCTGTTATGTTGGTTCACCTAAAACTAAGCACATATTGCTCAATGCAACTGCAATGGTATTGAATGGAAGTTTTTTTAACAATACCTTATATTATTTTTATGGAAAGTGAATTATTTATAATAACTGTAGCAACTAGATTCAATGAACATGGAACAAAGATGCGCAGAATTCAATATCGGCTATAAAGCTAGGGAAATTCATAGTATTATATGTAAAAAAATTATTAATAGCAAGCCTTATATGAAAATCCTGAAAGATGTAAACTGAAAATGGTCTGATAAGCTTTAGTTAGCTTACATATCACTGAGAATTACATACCACTGGTATTACATAACACTGAGAATTTTAAAAGTGTTTTATGGTATTTTCCTGAGACTTCTTGCCATTTATGTTCCATGTACCTATTCTGTGAAACACTTTCAGAGACTTTATATGCGGTTTTATTTCATTGAGCTAAAAATTATAATAAAAAATACACTGAAAAAGCAATAAATACAAAATTATTATTTTAAAATTTTATGTTACTATATAGCTTTATTTCATATAATGTGAAAAGAACTTCTTCTGTGCCACATGTTGGAATCTCATTGTTTGAATATTTAAATTTAGATTAAATGTTTTTTAAATTGAAATCATATAGTCTGCTTATCAAAATATAATTTATATTATAATTAGGAAAGATTTTGAATCATAAGAAATATCTCGCTGAGAATTTAAAAAGTATTTTATATTTTGAGACTTTTTACTGTTGTATTTTTCAGATACCTATTCTATGGAACTCCACTAGAGACTTTGTGTATGCTTTCATTTCATTGAGATAAAAGTTATAATAAAAAATACACTGATGATGCAATAAATACAAAAATGTATTTTTTTAATTTTATGTTACCGTATTCATTTCATGTAATGTGAAAAGAGCTTTTCCTGTGCCACATGAACTGTTTGAATATTTAAGCTTATATTAAATGCTTTCCAAACTGAGAGCACATATTCTGCTTATCGAAATGTAATTTATATTATAATTGAGAATAAATTTGAAGCATAAGAAATATAAGTAGTTTTCCAAATATACTTATATTAAATTATCTGTATTATAATAAATTATGCATTCAAAATTTCAGATATATTCTATAGAGTAGTTTTGAGTTTAAAATGTTGTTTTTAAATTTTTAATGTTAAATTTTATTTTTAATAGATGAAATTAGAAGCAGAGGTAGAATCTCTAGAGAAGTTACTTGAGGATCAAAAGAATATAGAGCTCGATTTGAAACAGAGAGTGAATGAACTGGAAAAAGTTGTTGAAAATGCAAAATATTCAACAGAACAACTAAAAGCCCAATGGAAATCTAATGTTGAAGAACTTGAAAAGGCACATCAAATAGATATTGAAAAAATGAAAAATCAGATAGATGTCTTAAAGCAAAACATAATATTCAATCAAAATACTGAAGATATTGATATAGCTAGTGTCAAAAAAGAAATTGTGGTATGTAATCGGAAAATATTTCTAAAACCTTAGGACTTTTTCCTATTTGTCTGTCTTTAGTTCTAGTTTAACCTAAAACCTATACTTTAAAATTCTCCTTAGTTTTCTTTAAAGTGTGATTTAAATTAGTTATAACTATGAATTTCTTCAAATGAAACACAGAATTAGAAAATCAGTTTTATTATACTTTTTTAGATCAAAGGAATCTCTCTTGTAAAAAATAAATTGCATCAAGAATTTACTTTTAAAGACTGTTTAAAAGTGTAGCAGAAAATCCGCATTTTCAATTTATAATGTCTGTCCGTCATATTTTAATTGAGTGTCCAAGTTTTAATAATCTTCTTCAGAAATATTTTAATAGCTGTGACTTACCTCTCGACCGTTTAATCGGGAGAGAGGTCAATTGTAATTTATTTTATTATTTAAAAGAGACTGGCTTTTATTATTTAATGTAATCTGTTTTGAAGATAATGTATTATATTAATGTATGCTTTTACCTTGTTTTTATATGACTTCATCCTCTGGATTTGGTAAGCAATTTCAAAGCATCATTCATTCATGATTTCATCTACCTCGTGTTTGGCGCATTATAATCATTTTTGGTTTTGCACCAAAAAATCTCACACTCACTCACACACTCAATTTATAATGCTAAATGTTTCTGCTTTAAATTAAAATCTGAATAGTGTTTATTTGGACAGCCAAATAGAGAATTAGAAAATTATTTAATTCATTTAAAAGTCGTGTTTATTTAGTAACTACTCATCGCAATATCTTTATCTCTGTAACACTTTTATAAAAAAAGCTATATCAAATTTTAAATATTCATTGATTGCAGTAACATCTTTTTTTGGATAATTTTTAAGTAGTAATATTTTTAAAGTACTTTGTGCATTTTACTTCTTAGGTACAAAGATATTTACACTATTTTTAACATTGAATTTAGTTTCCATTAACATTAAAATTTCAGGCTGAAATATTTAGTCAATTCTTTCATTAACCCTTTGGAGTCCTATGTCGAGTGTGGCTCAACATCATGTTTCTTACAACTTCTTTGTAGAGCTAGACTCGACATTATACATTTTATTTTCTAAAATAATGTTAAATGCTTAAATCTTTTTTTTTTTTTTCCTTTCAAATATTTTTTAATGTGTAAGTAAAGACTGAATTTGCTATGTTTGACCAAGTTAGATAATTTAAAACTCTTTTTAGTATTTATTTTAACATATGTCGAGTGTGGCTCGACATCATGTTTCTTACACTAACTCCTTTGTCAAGCTAGACTTGGCATTATACATGGTAATTTCTAAAATAATTGAAAATGTTTAAAACACTTTTTTTCCTTTGAATTTTTTGTGCTATGTAAATAAAGACTAAATTTATCATATATGACCATTTTATATTATTTTAAATTCTTTCCAGTATTAGATCAAAAGAGTCATTTGTAGTGTGGTGTAGTGATCGAACACGCTACCCAAAGCCTCTGTTGTATTTCAGGGTTGAAATGACACCAAATTCAAGTTATAAAACAATAGCGAGAATTTTAATAAAAATATAAATGTAAGAAGTTATGATTACATCAATCTGGTATGTGGATAACACTTAATCCAATAGTACATCTAAACAGTTACAAATGTACTGTGCTAAAACAACAGCATATTTGGGAAAATTAATCCATGATAAATCTCCTAGCACAACAAAATACTCCAAGCTGAACAGTGTTACCTCCAGTATTCCCGGCGGACATATGGTCTTCTAGCTTGGAAAAGTCGGCTCATTGAATGTGCAGACAATAATTTCGAACTCCCATACACACTCACTGAGGTGTTCGACTACGCTGTCTTGAAACAACGTCGCTTCACGATGTCCAAACCTCGACTCTCCCATCGCTTGCCATACGTTAAATCATAGCAAGAATATTACTTCGGGAAAGAAACAGGTACAGTTGCAATCTCCAAACTGCATTCCAAGTCCCATTGTCTGGGAACTATACCCTTGGAGGACGAGATAAGGAACTTCTGTGTGACCTTTTGTAGTCTTTGATATTTTGTTTACATAAAAATATATGTTTTAATTAAAATAATAATAATTGAACTGTTATATTTATTTATTTTATGTGCTAATAAGTATAAAAATATAGATTCCTCGAATCAAGAGAAAACAATCATTCATCAATGAATATGAAAGTAGTGATGACTAATGTATGACTCAAATAGATAATGAACTTGAATTATTGGAAGATGATATAAATTTTAAAAAAGCATCTGAGCTATTGTTTTTGGTTCCTGATTCTGATTCTAATTCTGATGAAGAAATTATTGTAAGAAGAAGAAGTTTTGTAAATGATAAATGAGGATAGCAATGAGCAACCACCTATTTCAACATATTGTTGGAAATGAAGAAACATTATGGACAAACGTCACTGAAGAAAACAATTATCATCATAACATAAAATTCTTAGTTTGTGAAAATGTTGTTGGGCCACAAGTTCCATCCAGCTGTACATCAGCTCTAGAATTTTTTAAGTTGTTTTTGGCTCCTACTCTACTAAAGTGCATATGCAGCAAAATTAATATCAGAAAAAACACTGAACAAATATTTTATTTGGTAAAATTGGGAAAATGTAACAGAGTGAAATGAGAGCCTTTATTAGTGTCATCTTAAATATGAGCCTTGTTGTTTCACCAGCTTTGGAATAATACTGGTCTCAAAGATTTCATTTGAAGATTTAATTTTTTAGAAAACTTTTTTCACACAAACTTTTTTTTCCAAAATATTTTGGTCACTACATTTGGAAACAATTTCACCAAACACTCAAAACACGAGGACAGGGATAGAAAGAGTGAGCAACTTTCTGGATTGCCTAAACCAAAAATTTGTGGAAATTATATACCTCATGAAAATTTGCTGTTGACGAATCTACAATCTCGTTCAAGGGCAAATACACTTTCTCACGTCTTACCCTAAAAAATCAACAAAATGGGGACTTTGTTCCATATTATGTTAAAATTACAACAGATGGCTTAATTAGACCAGATCTTAATTGTGCTAGTAGAATTGTGATGCAACTCTATCAAACTTACGAAATTCGATTCCTGAAGATAAAGGGTATCATATTTTTACCGACAGATTTTATACGAACCCCACTTTAGGTGCAGAACTTCTAAAACCCAACTGCGTTCTTATGACCAATTGAAAAGGATTGCCAGAACAAATAAAAAAAAAAAAAAAAAAAAATAGCTGTTGGACATAAAAATCGCTTATAGAAAAAGGAAAAATGTTAGTAACATGCCGTGACAAAAATGTTTTGTACAAAACAATCTTCTGTTTCACAACCTGTGAGGAAAAAAATCAAAGACAACTGAAAGTGCTAGTGACAAAGAAATAAACAAACCGACTATCATATTAGATTATAGAGAAAATTTATTGATGAGTCTAATCAGACTTTCGTGCTCCTACACAAAACCCCGACTGATTATCCACAGATGATACTATCTAAAGTTTAGATGCGAAGACTCATTTTATTTTTTCTCATAAAAAAACACTAGGATGGTATGAGGTTTTCCAACCGGAAGGTCAAAGGAGGGGAGAAACAAAAACATTCTATTGTGATACATATGATAGGGAACCCGGTCTTTATCCAGGAGGATGTTTTAAAGAATATCATACTTTGAATAATTATAAATAGCTAAAGTAAATAAATTGGTTAAATGTATAAATTTATATTTATTTATCATCCTACTACTTAATATAATCGAAAAATATCCGTTACACACTCTGTTGGAATACAACCTTTTATTGAGACCCTCTTTTTTTTTATCTATTTGGTAAATGAATTAAAGAGTTGAGCAAGGAAAAAGCATTTAGGAGTGGAAAGGGTTAATTTCAAAATTAATGATTAGAAATTGCTTTTTTTCTTACTTGATAATTTAAAGATTTACTGTTGTATGTGGCTTTTTTTGCATCTTGTAAAAGTCCATTATTACTGAAGTATATTTGACCAATTTTGATTAGATTTTGATTTTTTTTCATGAATAAAATGAGTAGCAATCAAAAATATTATAAGCAATTATTAGCATAATGAACATCAGCATAGTGACTATTTTATATTGATCCCAAATTTAAATTCCAATAGCTGAAAATTGTGTGTTATGTGAATGCAACCCATTTTTTTCATAATTTCTTCTACAAAGAAAGATAAACTTATCTACTTATTAAAAGGGGTAAAAAAGATGCAAGTGTTCAAGTATTTAAATCTAAGTTTTTCTGTAGGTATTTTGGAAAGTATTATTATTGTACTTTAATATTCTACTAAGGGTAACAACTTTTATTGGAGGAGTTAAAGCAACAAGAATCTGTGTGATATTCTAATTCTGTTTTGAAAACTGTGATCTATAAGAACTAAGTTCATTTTCATAATTTCTTAATTTTATATTAACCTTTTCTTCATTCTTAAGCTGGGTAAAAAGTTCATTTTCTTACAAGAAAATTTGGTACTTGCGTATTAACGCCACTGCAGCGGAAGTTACCCTGATGTGCCAATAAAAAACAATCCTCCTGTTCACACGCATTTATCTTTTGGATTCTATTTTGCCATGTTGTTTGCTGATTTTTGACACCATTTTTAGTGCTACGAAAATGCGTCTTTCGTATTTGCCAAACACAGAAGCAGATGCAATTTTATATTTTCAGGAGCGAAATATTTTGCAAAAAAAATTAAATGTACCAATTCGCATGATATGAAACTTTATTTTGGTAAATGTAGGTTTTGGAAATGTAATTTAAGACAGTGTGATCAGCAAGTGGCACTTAGAAAAGACAACTGGTTTGAAGGAAGCAGAATTCCATTTTGTTCAGCTTTGAGATTCATATACTGTTGGTGCGAGGAGTTAACATCAATTAAATTTTGTGAAAACCAACTTGATTTATCGGATAAAACTGTTGTAGATTGGAACAATTACATGCGTGAATTATATGTCTTGGATATAGAGGAATAAACCAAACAAGAAGGAGAAGGTAGGTGACCAGATTGCATTGTGGAAATTGATGAAAGTTGTTTACTAAGCATAAAAATAATTGTGGTCGAGTATTACCCGAACAGTGGGTGTTTGGTGGTATATGTAGAGAGACGAAAAGATTCGTTTGTTGCCACTCTTCCCAATAGAACTGGCTCTACCCTTCTTAATAAAATTATTGAAAACAATGCAGATTGAAGCACAACATTTATTCTGACAGTTGGTAAGGTTACCAAACAAATAGAAAAGGAAAAGAAGGATTCCTACATGCTAAAGTTCATAAATACAATTTTATTGATCATGATACAGGAGTTCATACACAAACAGTTGAGAGAATATGGGGAGCTAAATGGAGTAGCAAGAGGCATAGGTGGACAGCAAGACATCATTTAGAATTTTATTTAACAGAGTTTATATGGCGACAGCATCAGGTCAAAGAAAATAGAGACTGTTTTTGAATCTATGTTAAACTCTGTATCATCCCATTTTCCACCGAAATCCAATTGACTACTTTAATTTTAAATAAAGTGTTTTAATGTCTGATTTGTCACAAAAATTTTAGGTCTAGATTGGCGGCACTTGCCAAATCTGCAGCTGCAGTGGCGTTAATACATAAGTGCTAAAAATGTAATCTAATGACATATTATTGTTTTAAACATCTTAAAGGAGACATGTTTTAGATTTTTAATATTTTCAGGTTGTAATAAAATTGTACAATAAATTGATATTGATTTACAAAATTATAACAGTTACAACAGTTACATAAAAAAAAAAAAAAAAAAAAAAAAAAAAAAAAAACTTGCCAAATTACAAAGTGAAAGATCTTTCATTTGTATCCAACATTATAAAAGTGCATTACTCAATACAGCCTAAACTAATCCTTTAAAAAATCATTTTATTTCGACTTGCTGACTACAGTATATAATTAATGCTATGGTATATCATGAGTGACATGAATAGGTTTCTAATGTTATATATTTGGTCGATTGCAAAATTTCTATTTTTATGTGCATTATTAGTCAGTGTCTGAAATAAAATCTATTCGCTATAATGAATTTTTTTATGGTGGCATATAAATTGCAAGCTTTTATATGGATTTCTATTTTAATTATAATGTAGTTTTTTAATAGTTTGGTATTTTTCTGTGTATACCATTTTACATACAAAAAAGAAATTGAGACAAACATAGCTCTTAAAATTAAAATTTGTATGTTTTTTTTTTTTTTTTTTTTTTTTTTTTTTTTTGCTAAATATTTTGTTTGATCATTGGAAGTAATAGATACCTTTTTTGTTTAAAAAAAAGAAAAATATGTCTTCACTTTTATTCTCATTTTTAAAGTTTCGCATACTTTGGGGGAGGGAACACTTTTTTTTTTTTTTTTTTTTTAATGCTAGAATTTTATTCAGGTGTTAGACTACAATTCAGATTTTTCAGATAAGAGTTTTTATTTTTAATAATTAATTTGATATAATATGAATGTAAATACATTGCTTATATACCATGTGTTACTTAAAATTTGGGTACTTTGCTGTTGTGCACCTGACATGCATTTTTGCAGTACTATTGTTATAATATGTGTTTAATTATTCTTGTAAATGCTCACATAAATATGCATTGCCCCCAAATAGTGCTACCATTTGGTTTTTAGCAAGTGTTTGGCTTACCTTTCACAGGGGCTAGAAAGTGTAGTAGGTGCATAATAGAAAAGTGCCAAAATTTTTAATGCATTTACAGCTATTGTATTTTTTCTTTTATAAGGATGAAATATTTCTTCAGTTAAAACCATCTTTGAAATTAAAATAAATATTTTCAATTGTTAGGCTTCTGCTTTGGCCTTTAGACTGGATCAAAATGAAGACAAGTTGCAGTTTGAAAACATAGTATATGCTACTCTTAAAAGAACTATTGACACAAATTTGAAGAAACTGGAAAAAAAGCATGAAACAGATATAAATGATATAAATGAAAACTGGCAGCAAAAAATTAAGGTTGAATTAGAAAGTAAAGAAAAAGATATGAGATCACACTATGAAAAATATAAAAAAGACAAAATACAATTGCAAAAGAAGTTTGAGAAAGAAAAGATGCGCATATCTTCTGAGAAAGATGCATATTGGCAAGAAAAACTGAAAGAATTAGGAAAATCTCTAAGTGATGAAAAAGGTAAAAATGAAAAAATTTCTAAACTTTTGGAATACATAGAGGGAAATTTTCAAGAAACACATCGAACACAAGTTAATTCTTTAAAAGGTGAATTAGATCAGATTTTGAAAGAAAAAGTTGAAGCTGAAGAGCAAGTTAGAAATTTAAGTAAAAATATAGAGGAATTAAAGCAAGAGATAAGTGCATTACAAAAAAGTTTTAAATCAAAAATACACTCTATGGAAGAGAAGTTTGAAAGTGAAAAAATGCAGTTAGAATCTTTTTACAAGCTGGAAACTGAAAAATTGCAATGTACCCTTCATTCAGCATTAGAAAGAGAAAAAACTATAGAATCAAAGCATAAGGAAGAACTTTTTGCTTTACATAAATTTTTTGAAACTCGTTGGAAAAATGAGATGAAGAAAATTCAGAGTTCTCAGATTGAAGAACTTAAAAAGTTAAAAGATAGTAAAGATAAAAATGTTGAAGCATTGTGCAGTAATTACTTTAAAGTATATGAAGAGAAACTGAATAAAATGCAGGAAAGGTGTGAATTTCAGATTGCAGAAGAGCGAAAGCATATTTTTCAACAGCATAGAGAAGAATTGGTACAATTACGCCATGCACTGGAAGAAAGGTTTGAAAAAGAAAAAGTAACTTTAATAGATATGAAAGAAAAAGAACTAAAAGCAGCATTTGATTCATTAAACAAAGCCTTGAATGTTAAAGCAGTAGATTCAGCAACTAAAGAAGATAAGGATTGGGAAAAAGAAAAATCAAATCTTATTTCTCAACATCAAAACGAAATGGCTTTATTGAAAAGAGAATTACAACAGAAATATGAAAAAAAATTACAGAACCAGTTAATGGCTCATAATGTTGAAATGAAACATATTGAAGAAAGTTACAACCAGCAGGTTGAAGAACTTCATGAATTAATAAAAGGTAAGAGGGTTTTTTGTTTGTTTGTTTGTGTGTGTGTGTGTGTGTGTCATTTTCATCAGCTATATGAAAAGCATTGTCATGTGTTTGCATTTCAATTTTATATACTGAATTTCAAGCTGTGATACTGATTTTTTTTATTTCCTTTATATATATATGTATATATTTGGGAGTATTAAGATTACATTACACCTTACATATAAATCATAATAAAGAAGTTTTGTCTTAAATTGTTAACTTTTAAAAACTAAATTAAAAGCCAATACTATTGAAAGAAGTATTAAAAGTTCTTTATTTATTGAAGCAATAGAAAATTTCCTGATATCTTTGGACACTTATTTTGCATAAAATCTGAATTCATCATTATAAAAATAGAAATCAACTGTATCAGTGTTTTTCTGCAAATGTTCAAGCAGGTATTCCATCCTTGTTGAAATAAGCTGGCTTAAGAAGTTTGTTACCTGTAGTTTAGGTTTTCTTAGGGGGCTTTATCTTTTTGAAAGCGGCACCAAGTTGGTAGTAGTAAAGGTGGTAGTGTATTTCTGCAAGATTTGGATTAAAATGGTGAGTGAAACAAAATTTCCAACCCTGTTGCATTAAGCTTTGCCAAATTGCTCAAGCCATGGGCAGTCTTGGTACTGTCATGCAAGATTTGGACAGGACTCTTCTGGCATATCTTAAAGAATCTGTCAGCAGTGTAGCGGAATTGCTGACAGAGTAGCTTAGCAGTGGTATTTTTGCTTGAAAACTCACAAAGGAAAAGACTCTGTAATTTCTATCTATCTTTTTTTTCCCCCCCCCCCCATTTGAAGCTTTTGCAGTAAGTTTGCTTGCCTTTATGGTAACATATAATTGCCACTTTTCATTCCTTATAAGCAGAGGTGATGTTTAAGATGTGCAGTTACTGTGATGTTTGAGATATGTTTCAAGAAAATTGTTATAGTTATTTATTATGTTATATTAATGTTGCATTGATTATTTAACTCAGCTGGTTTTAGCTGTAATAATCGCTCATTAGCTTAGTTCATGTGATCGTTAAGAGTGAACATTGACATAAATATTGTCAATGTGTACATGCAGAAAGATTTCTAAATCAAAACAGTATTTTTTAAAGTACTTTTCAATTACTAATAAATGAAAAATTTCCTTTCTTTTACCTTCAGAGTAAAGTGCATTTTCTGGTTGAATTGTTTTTGTAGTAAAATATAACAACACCAAAGAACATCTGACATTTTTTCTAACTTCAAATGAGCAAAATGATTAAAAATATCTACTATGAACCAAACAAAATTGATAAAGTATGCAATCAGTTTATTGGCATTTGATCAGTGAAATTCAAAAATATGGTTATATAAAGTTTAAAAAAAGTTGCCATTGCTTATGATCTAGTGCCATTTTTAAACACTCTAATGTATCATATGTTCTGTAATCTTTTTATTTTTTCTTTAATGTATGAATGTGCTTGCCTTTTTCTTTCCTCTCCTTTTTATTCATTTGCATGACTGATGGCATTGTGATGAAATTAAATAATAAAGATGTACATGAGAAAACTTTAAAGTCAGTAAGTACATCAGCCAAAGGCATTTGTGGCAAAATATATTCAAATGCCAATTTCTGGTTTCCACCAAATTTCTTTCCTGAATTATTTTTTTCTTTCTTTTTTTTTTTAATGTAATGTTATTTTCCAGAGTGGAAGTATTTTGCTAATTTTACCAAAATTATTGATAATATTTGAATGCCTGTTAAACAAAATACCGAAAGTTCCTCCCCCTCTCCTGCATGATAAAAAAAAAGTCCTCATTTTGCTGTCAAATAAACAAAATATTTTTTGATTACAATAAATTTCATAAGCTCTTCTTAAATGAATAATAATCAATAGTTAAAAGATAAAATTTGTTTGATGATTTTGTTATAGTTGAGTTCAACCAATTTTCCTTTGGAGCTTATATAATTGAACCAGAAAAAAAAAAAAAAAAAAAAAAAAAAAAAATGTTGTCTCATGAATATATTCAAAATTATTGAAGTATATTCTACTTAAATCTTAAAATAATATTAATTTATGTTTTGATAAAAATACAAGAAAATGTGTCCAAATTCTAAAAATAATCTTATTTTTATCTAATTAATATTTGTCTGTCTGTATTGCATTTTATATTTTTGGTGTTTTCTAAATTTATTCCCCCCGCCCCTTTTGACTTCTAAATGAATTTACAGAAGCCAAGCGAGTAGCTTCTAGAACATGCAATTCTGATTCAGGATCTAATAGAACGACTACACCTTCTTCAGAAATGACTTCATCTGATGAAGCTTGTAGTTCCTGTCAAGAAGACATGCTATCTAGGAACAAACATGTTTTGGTCAACAAAATTCATCAAGATGGGAAGCGAGTAAGTTTACTATGCATATTTCTGCACAAGTTATTTTATTTTAAATTATTTTATTGAATAAAAAATTTCTGGAAAAAAAAATATGCTAGTTAGGTATGTCTTAGAGTATAAAGCATTTCATATACAGAAGACCTAGTATTATCATTTATTGCTGGCATAATATGGTGTTAATATATAGTATATTATGCCAGTTGTATCTATAACATTTTCATTGTAGCAGTTCATACTTTGAAAGATGCCTATTTAATGCAAAAATGCTAGCATATTCGATTGTTTGCTAAGAGTAATCCTCACCTTTTGACAAGCACATTGAAATTGATTATGCAATTGTGGATGAGCTAGCTTATAGTTTTAAACTGGACTTTCACTGAGCTTGTGGTCCGAGATCTAAAGTCTGATGAGCCATTTTAACTGTGACTTATCAGTCTTAAAAAAAAAAAGAAAAAAAAAAAGAAAAAGAAAAAGAAAAAAAAAATTAGACTTTACAGCTAACTCATTAAAGCAATGAAAAGTTTATTAAATCTTAACTTGTGATACAAAAAATTAAATGTCAGGTACAGAATAAAAGATAACTCCTAGTTTCATTAAGATTATAATTAGGTTTCATGCCCTAAGAATTTACAAAATCAATTTCAGAAGGATTCGAACAGACTCCTGACTGAAGTTCTGTTTACACTTTTAATTCACTTATTCCTCAGACAAAGGCTTAATCTCTCAGATCCAAACACCTTTCGCCAATAAAAATCTAGTTTGATTACTAAATATGATAGCTAGGAAAAGTGAGGAAAGTTTCTTGTTTCTATGACAGCATTAACTGGCAGTTAAAAATTACCTGAATTTAACTTGCTTTCATATTAACTATAATTTTTCGGTGCGAGAAAATATTTCTGATACAAACCAAGAAGGAAAAAGACTGTATGCAACTTAATACATAAATATAATTGTCACAAGTTAAGTACGGCATCAATTGCGATGCTTTATTTCAGTTTCTAAGTTGTGTGTGTTTCATTCATTGCAATACATTCTTCTTAATATGCAACATGAATGAGAAAGGACAAATATCGATAAATTTTGATGAAAAGTAATTCCTTGCAGAATTATTATCTTCAAATATGCTAATTAGATAACTGCCATATCCTTTCAAAAATATGACAGATCACCCAATGATACTGGAATTCGTAAAGTATTTTCTTTGAATTAATTTAAAACTCTGTTTTGTGCTGAAATACATGCTTATGCTCATCGTTATTTCAGCAGATATGTGGTATTAAAATGTATCTTGAAATATGAGTGTATGATCTTGAATGAACCAATAATTAAATATGATTGTGCCAAGAACACTTTAAGTTCATTTGTATTGATGCTTGCCGTACCTGACCTGGTCAGGAACTTAACATAAGTTGCTTCTGATTGCTCTTTCAATGAATGTCAACCTGCAGTTAGTCGCATCATTTCAATCAATGAAAGACATATCAGAACTAAATTGTACTGTATTTTAAATATGCTTATTCACATTGACATTTCCACAACTATAATTATTTTACTTCACACTCATAACATCTGTTGAAATACCCAATGGGATATTTTTGTGTAACTTTGCAATTAAAATGAAACCTTAACAATATTTTTAATTACTTTTATATTTTTTATTCTAAAATGACACTCCAAATAATAATCATTATAATCCAAATAATAATCATTATATAATATATACTGGGGCAACTAGAATTGGCATAATTTTCATAAATTTCCAGGATTAGTTTGGAAGGTTTGCCAATGGTCCTGGATTCAAATCCCAGAGAAGGCATGATTGTTTGTAAGAAATAGTGTCTGTGCGACAAGGGGTACTTAAAATGCACAGTAAGCTGAAAGTCCTCTCAAGAGGTTCTTGGTTGGTAAAGAGGGGTGGAAGATACTCCCTACCAGGTGTGAGGCATTTTACCTCAAAATTGGGATAAAACTGTGCGATTGTTATGGCAGACTATATACCTGTACAGTTGGGATTTTCACAACTGAATATTGAAATCGTATTTCGAAATTAAGGTACAGTAATGGAAGTTTGAAGCCTGTGTTAAAAATGTTTAATATATTCCTTCCTTTTTTACCGATGCTTCAAAATTGTCACAAGTGATTTACAAGCTAACATTTTGTTTAACTGTCAGTTGTTGATAGATTATAAAATATTAAATTTCATTTGCTGTACAAAACAAAAACCTGTAAGATTTTTTTTTAAAAATTATGTGTTATTTTATTTTCTAAAATTGGAAGTATATAAATTTTGTTAATATTCAATGTCACTTTTTGTCTTGTAATATTAGGTATTGTCCTTGATTGAATCATCTCAAAAACCAGTTTCTTCTGAAATTGAAGTGAAACATTGGCTAGATGAAAGAAAGTGGGTTGTTAATAAAGTGAAAACTGTTGTAATCGTAAGTTCTTTTATATTTTGAACTAAGATTAATTCAATTCAAATTTTAAAAATATCTTTACAGGGTTGCCACGCTACCTGAAAAACTGGGAAAGGTCAGGGAATTCAAAAACTGACTGAAAAAATCAGTGAATTTCATATGGCGATCCCCCAGAAAAGCAATTTTTACGCCAGAAACGATCACTTCCTTGGCAAATTATGTATTACATGAGCATCATTTGGGCAGTTGACGTAGAGCCAATTTTTGCAGCTCCAATCAGATTATCTTTTAGAAAGGAAGAACAAGTTTCCTGCAACTTTGGTGTCCAGTAACCTCGAGAATCGAGACATTCACATGCACATGTACAGTGCATGTTGAATGAAAGAAATTACCTTGCCATTCTCATATAAAACAAAATCTGTTTTATCCTCGTATATGGTACACACAGGGTTTGGCGACATTATGATGAGCAGTAAACAGGTTGTTTTGGTGTTGGCGACAGTTTTCAAAATCATGCCAAGGCCGTATTGTGTACTAGGATTTCACAACAAAAACCAGTTTCTTCTGAAATTGAAGTGAAACATTGGCTAGATGAAAGAAAGTGGGTTGTTAATAAAGTGAAAACTGTTGTAATCGTAAGTTCTTTTATATTTTGAACTAAGATTAATTCAATTCAAATTTTAAAAATATCTTTACAGGGTTGCCACGCTACCTGAAAAACTGGGAAAGGTCAGGGAATTCAAAAACTGACTGAAAAAATCAGTGAATTTCATATGGCGATCCCCCAGAAAAGCAATTTTTACGCCAGAAACGATCACTTCCTTGGCAAATTATGTATTACATGAGCATCATTCGGGCAGTTGACGTAGAGCCAATTTTTGCAGCTCCAATCAGATTATCTTTTAGAAAGGAAGAACAAGTTTCCTGCAACTTTGGTGTCCAGTAACCTCGAGAATCGAGACATTCACATGCACATGTACAGTGCATGTTGAATGAAAGAAATTACCTTGCCATTCTCATATAAAACAAAATCTGTTTTATCCTCGTATATGGTACACACAGGGTTTGGCGACATTATGATGAGCAGTAAACAGGTTGTTTTGGTGTTGGCGACAGTTTTCAAAATCATGCCAAGGCCGTATTGTGTACTAGGATTTCACAACAAAATCTTAATATTTTTAATAAATGCCTTATTTGTCATTTTGCAGTAACATACAAAAATAGTAATTAGTCATCTAAACCATTTAATATAATTGCAATCACCAAAATATCATTGATCATTACAAGATCATTGATTGAGCAGAGAAAACAAATCCTATTGTAGTTATAATAGTAATGCTTTGAGGAATAAGTTGTATGTAATTAAAAAATTTTTGTTTTCAAATGGTACCATAATTAATTTACCTCTCAGCACAATTATTGTTTGTACCTTTCACAGTATGATTGAGCCATTCCATTAAAAATGCTGAAATAAAGTGCTAAAACTTTGAGCTACAGAATTGGAAATAAGCTTATAAAATATCTTGACACTATTTCTTTTCTGAATGGTTTTTTTTTTTTTTTTTTATATAATTTATGTATGGATTTGTATGCTGTTCTTTTCATGTTCAGTGATATATAAAGTTCTATTGCAATTCTACCTATGTGTACGTTTGTTCATAGTGAAGAGCGTACCAAAATGTTCCAAAGATCTCTGTTATTTTGTTTTCTTCATCAAAAATCCATTTTTTAGGTAGTTTCTAGATTTTTTATATTATCATAAAAATGATATTGACTATTGAAGTTACTAAATTAAGCATATAGTTATTTACTATATGAATCACATGCAAAAATTATATGACTTTTGGTAAATAACATTTTTCATATAAAAGAATTTTATTTACTAAAAGTCACATTTCAGTTTCTTCTGAAGGTGTAAATCTTTAAATAGATTTTTCTCAGAGCAGTAATGTTGTAGGGAGTTTATTATTTTGGAGATAATGTTGTGTACATATAGCTCTTGTAAAGCTCATTAAATCATTTACATTGTGTGTTTTTTGTTTTTACCATATGTATCAATAGTGTGAAGAGATATAAAGAAGACAAAGTGCATGTTATTCATATTTAATGACTTAAATATGAATAACATGCATAACATAATTCTTTATGTAATGCATGCTACATAAAGAATTATTTGTTATAGTAAATTATAGTATTTTAACAATTTCTAGATTGATGATCCTGAAGATGTGAAGCTGGCTGTTAGCAAACTAGTTGAGGAGATTCAAGCTAGAAAACGGAAATTTGAGATAGCTAGTAAAGAAAATCAAGAACTAAGAGAAAAGTGCTTTGAGTTAGAACTGAAGCTTAGAGAAGAAAGTAAGAATATGTGATATTTATGCATTAATATGTAAACAAAGTATTTGCACACATAGCAGAAGTCCAGTAATCCAGCACATTTAGCTATAGGGATGGCTGATTATTAGACATGCTGGATTATTGAGCTGAATCTGTAAAACATGTTTTTTTTTTTTTTTTTTTTTTTTTTTTTATGTTATTGAAATTGCTGAGGAATGAAAATGCTAGCTCGCCAAGTCATTTTAAATGAAGTTCGAATGTTAATGTGCTTTAAAAACAATAATAATGAAATTATTTAGCAGAATATGAATATTCTGTATTCCTCTAATATTATGAATTTTATTTTATGCATTTTCTGTGAATTTCACAAATGTATTTAATAGTTCACAAACCTTATGAGAACTGATCTGACTAAGATTTCTTTGTCACTCTGCACTTTTTTTGTCTGCTACTTGCAGATTTAGGATACTTTGAATTATGATGCACTTAACTCCTCCATAATTTATTCATTTTTGTCACTTTCATTCCATTTAATAATTTCATTTTAGTAAAAGTTGGTTAATGAATTGTTCAAAAGAAGACTTTCAGCTATTTACCATAACTAAAATTGGTTGATCATTAAATGATCAGTATTTTCTTTGTCTTCAGCAGAATTTTGCTTCATAATTTCTGGCCACAATTTTCATAAAACTATAATAACTTAGTGTAACTTTATGTTGTTTACATGCTTCCAAGCAATAGCAGTTGTGAAGATTATGTCTTTTATGCAGAAATGAAACTGCAATCAGAGTTCAATGAATTATGAAGAAAGAATCTTTAACTGAAGATGTTTATACATTTTTAGAACAACTTCAGTAATGAATTAAAAATGAGTAAATGTTTTGAAATAAAAATTTTTGGCAATGGCTTGTATTTAAAGTGAAAAATATCATCTGCTACTTTTAAATCTATTTTTCTTTCAAATATCACAAACAAACGGTGGATTGAAAAATATGTTTTTTCACTTCCTGAAGAGAAATATTTCTATTCCGTAATACAAAAAAATTGTAAAATCAATGGTATTAAAATTTCTAAGTGTAAAATAAGCAACACTATTGATTGGAAAAGGAAAAAAATATCTATCATTATTTCTACACAGAAAGAAGACTCCAAACAAATACCTGAAAAAAGTATGTACTGTTTCTTTCTAATGTTTGTAATGTTAAATCATTGGTAACAAGACAAAATCCGCTGATCCAAAGTCTTAAGATACATCTATAGCAACAATAAATAAAGTAATAAATCGAGATTTTACAGTTTAGAAAACCTAAAGAGCATAATGTTTACCAGTTTTTGCTAAGGGTCATGGCTGAGTGCAGAACAATTTATAGAACCCTATATGAAAACTCTTTAGCAAGAGATAAATGGAAATATATTGTGATACTTGATGAAGCATGGATTTTACTTAGATGAGTGAAAAAGAAAGGTCTATTTATTATTGAAAATGGAACCTGTTGCAGAATATAAGGTTATTGATAAGTTCTTGAGGCTTCATGGCTCATTCCTCGTGTAGCACCAATGACAACTGCAGCATCATTGATGGTGGCTGCAGATGTGTTGCCAAACATTTGGTGACAACTTTTGTTATGCGTCTATTGGATTTTGTTTCAAAGACCAGCAGGCTAATCCATGTGGCAAATATCTTTTATTTTTCGTAGCTGAATAACAATTCCTGTATGATGGAGGTCTATTGTTATGATTCATAAAGAACTCAGGGCCCACAATAACCATGAAAAAGATTTCATGAGGAAAGAAAACATCGGTACAATGGTGGTTGCCTTTCATTGACTTCCTTGGAAAATGGAGTTTTGTGCTGCCATCAAACATTGTGTCTCCCTAAATAACAACTCCACTACCTCCAAAATTGTTGTTTAGAAGTAAATTTATGGAGTTAAGTCACTGTTGTGAAGGACTGCTAAAGCATTAATTAACTAAACATTTGTCATGTTTTATGATCTCCAAGAAATTCAGGTATGGTAGATTTTCTTTTCATAACTACACCCCTGCTGATGTTTTTTGAATGTTTGCTTGCTTCCGAATCTGTCTACAATTTAATATCAGCTACAAACTTGTATAACAGAAATTGATATTAATAGCACGAGTTTGTTGAAGTATGATAACTGAAAGTTAAATCATCTGAGGTGGTCTGTAATGTGAAAAATGGTATAATGATAAATTAAAACGTGTAAAATAGTCTTAATATAATCTATTATGCCTTAAAACTGAAGCAAGTTATTTTTATTTGTCATATAGTTTTTTGTTTGTTTAATTGTTGTTTTCACTATTTCATTAAAATGTATATTTTCTCCTTAATAATAGATTCTAAACTGCATGATATTACTGCAAATTTAAACAAACAAAATTCCATCAACTCTGATCTTCAGTATTTGTTAAGACTGAGAACAACAGAAGTGACAGATTTGAGGAAAGCTTTAGAAGATCAAGTCAAGTAATATATGTATTTTAATTAGACTCAATAAATTTCTCATAATTTGTATTTTAATGTCTCTTTTTTTATTTTTAAACTGTGATAAATATGTAATTTGACTAAAAATGGGAAAAAATTGTAATTTAGCATTTTACTTTTGTTGTTTGTTTTTTAGGTTTTCCTTATCACCTTCATTGAAGAATACATATTCTGTAAGTCTTTTTGTGTGTATGGTGTAATTTTTTTGGCTTTAAATTTGCTTAAATGTACTTAAAATTTGATTTATTCAAATAGCACCAGAGTGAAAATTTGACTTCTTCATATGAAATAGGATGTTTAAGGAGCGCTGATGAGCCAAGGTAATTTTAGTCTTTTATGATGTACATAATCTGTAGTTGATCTAACTGTGGAAAAGATAAATGATGTATGTGATATAAAATGTGAGAGGCAAACATCCTCCCATCCTTTTTTCCCAAAATCATGCATTGCACAAAATGTTCTAACATTACGAGTAAGACTTAAAACGAACACTAATGCATTAGGTTGGAAAAACACAAAAGAAAACCTTAATTAACATAAAATATATATGATGGAGCATGCTAAAATGAGATCAGTAAAGAATAAACTTAAAACAATTATGGTCAGTAATAAACAAAAGGATTTACGTCCAGAAATTGTATATTGTACATCATCTCTAATAGTTTGTTCTTGGTTTTAAGAGTCTGCCGTATCTAGATCTGTTTTCAGTTGTCAGGGTTAGCACAGGATCACATGCAGCTGAAAGCTCTAGCGGATAGAATTTTTTGATTGGTCTTTACCAAATATCCACTGCTTATTTTCACCTGTACCATTCTTTGTAGCCCCATGCTGTTGATTCTTTGTAGCCCCCTACTGCTGATGATTTTCAAAATTTTGCCCATTGGCCTCATTATGCATTTTTTATTGTCTAGTTCTGTAAGGACTACGTCCCTTACATTTGGCTTTTGACATGAAACACTGGCCTTCTGCACCAGCTGGGCCAGGTTTTCCTTATGGAAGTGACTTCTCAGTTCTTGTCTCAATGTATTGCAGTAATTTGTGGCATTAAATTTCTGGGAATTGATGTAATCCAAATCTGGTGCACCAACTTGTTTTATATCTTTCAAAAACAGAGAAAAAGTATCAGAGGTACGAGCTCTTCTGAATTATCACAGATGTACATTAAAGGACGTCTGTTTAGTGTGGATTCATCATCACACAGGACCATCAATAACTCCTCGAAATTCACAGACAACCTCCTTAAAATTCGTAAAAGAAGGCTCTTGTTAGAACAAACTAAGCACTCCCGCTATCACCTCCACCACACAGCTGTAGGGGGATGAAATTCTATTTTATTGGAAAACACTTGTTTTCTGTGATTTTTCGCCAATACAGGCATCACAAAGCATTGTCTGTTCTGGTAAAATTGGTTCCATTATTGGAATACACAGTCGCAGGACGGCCTCGTCTGGCAATGGACCATCTCAGAGCCTGTAGAAACATTTCGGTAGTCGGAGAGGTGATAGGCTCCAGGTGAACAATATGTTCCAAGCTTTACCCTTTGGTCTCAGAAGTAAAGGGCCAAAGAGATCAATGCCAGTTGTTTCAAAGACTGCCAAATCTCTTACTCTGTCAAAGGGTAAATGGATTGAAAGGGTGGATAAAGCTTTAGCGGTAAATTTCCAGTATTGTTCTCTTAATTTAGCTGCTAAATATCTGCCCCAGCATGACAGTTCTTTTCATATACAGTCAAAAGTCGTTAATTCGGACACCCATAATCCGGAATGATCTATAATCCGGACCTCAAAGCTAAAAACTTTCTGCGCATGCGCCACGTTGGCACATGCGCACAGCCGTTTTACATGTGCGCGAAAGACCTTGACTACTGCGCATATGCGTGTGCACAAGTGCAGAATACGTTTTCGCCTGCGCGTTTAATGTATAACGGACGGTGTAAGCTAAAATTATCTAAATTATCTATTTCAGTTAATGTTAATGATTGCGTTGTTCCTTAATCTTCGAATTGGATCCCGCTTATTATTTTTTGCAGACTGTAAGAGCAATTTTATAAAAGTAAACTTGAACTTTCGATTATGTCAAATAGAATTTCCGATGCTGGAACTTCCAAAGGATCTACAAAACGAAAGTATGTTTCGATGTCCAACAAACAAAAAGTGGAATTGCTGCAAAAATGGATAAAGACATGAAGAATGTGACAGAGAGGTTAGTGAAAATGAAAAAAAATTTCGATTGACAAGTTAGTCTGTATTCTCGGCACAGCAATTAATGGAACTTGAACAGTGGAACTTTGTAACTGAACAAGAAATTATGTCCGTTTATAGAATTAAAGAGAAAGTATTATCACATAAAATGAAGCAACTTAAACAACTTACATTGAAAGAAATGTTTAATAAAGTAAACAAATAAATAGTAAGCTTTTTTTTTTTTTTTTTTTTTTTTTTTTTTTTGGAAATTTTGATACCCTTTAGATCATAATTGTTCTTTATTTCATAAATTACGGTTTCATATTTTTAATTTTAGAATTTCTGCATGCCATCTTACGAGATTTAAACTGATGATCTATAATCCGGAAAAATCGATAATTTGGAATCACCGAAATCCTGACGAGTCCGGATTAACGACTTTTGACTGTACTCTCTTATTGAGGCATTCCGTCAAATTGACGGACGGAAGCAAGCTTGGACGGAAGCAAGAGGAGATAAAGGAGGCAGAATTCCTCATCACATTCAATGATTTTAGTTTTAACTCTGATAACTCGTTATCTTTCACTGCCAAGAGGCAGCAAGCAGATGGAATCTCTTTTCTGTTGAAAATGCTTCCTTTGCTCTAACCTCCACAGAATTGTTCCAGCGCTAGTTTTTTCTTCTACTGTTAGGGTATCTGAAGAATGGGAGAGTTTCTTTAGGATTTTGTTAGCAAAGCATAGAACCCAGCAGAATACTCGAGCTATTTTGGAAAAACTTGAAAAGCGTTTGTATCTCTGAATCTTCTAATTGTATGCTGAAATTGACAGTCACTCCTTTTTAATTTTTTCTGCAACAGAATTTTTGTCTGGTGTAAATTCAAATTCTGGCCATTCTTCTAAAGAGCTTTTCTGAAATTCAGGGCCTTCCCACCTATTGCAATGCTATAAATGCTGAGGAGTGCAGCCACGAAATCTGCAGGATTCAATTTTCCTGGGATATTGTCTCCAATATTCCTGTTCTGAGAGTTTCCAAATTTCCTTTATTATTTACAAATACACCCCAGTTTTCCTTTCGTTGCATCCAGCTAAGGGCCACAAGGACAGCTAAGTCTATCCAGTAATGTATTGGGACATCAACTAAGGACATGGCTTTTTCAGTATACCTTGCCAAGCATGCATCTAGAACACAAGCTAGCAACTCCAGATGCAGAATAGTTATTTTCTTTAAGGGCAATACGTGTGATTTTGCCATGACGAATTTCATGAAAACTTTGTCTTCTTCCTTACTCCTTAGGAAAAGGACAGTTGCATAAGTTGCTTGACTGGCATTGCAAAAGATGTGTAGTGTCCATGAATCCTTATTTCCATAACCCAGTCTTAGTTTTAATCAATAAAATTAGTTTTTCAAATTTACCAGTCTTGATTTAAACTTTGTTTGTAATAAATTTTTAAATATTTAATAAGCCATGAGAGGGATTGCTCATGATATTGAATCATGAAAAATTATGCAGTTTTCAAACCTTTCTTTCTAATACTTTTGTTGCTGATGATTTCTATCTGTGTAAAAATGTAATTCCCCCCCCTTCTCTCTCTCTCTCTCTATCTCTATCTCTCTCTCTCTCTCTCTCTCTCTTTTTTTTTTTTTTTTTTTTCTTCCTTGTAAAAAGCACATAAAATGTTGGCTAGTGTTTAGTTGTATTATTCTTTAAGATTATTTGTAAACACATAAATTATAAATAATAGTGCATCACAAAATGGTTTATGTGGCAAAAGGATTAACTTTTTCCACTGTAGTGAAATTTCTTTGATATTCTTTGTTGGCATGTGATTGCTTTAAAAAAGTATTGTGACTGATAACATTGCATTTATTTGATTTGTTATGGATATATACTTTGGTAAATTTTTTTAATATTTGCAAAAATCAGGTCACATGAACAATTCTCAATGCTTCTGCCAGAAATCTCTTCAATACCATCTAAAGATCCTGGTCTGAAAGTTGTAAGTATGGATTTATTTATTTAACTATTGTATTTAAAATTCACGGTTAGATTTCAGTCATGTATTCTAAATTTTTGTCAGAATTGGAAGTGGTATTATGTGATGATAAGCAATTTTTAAAAATGTTAATGATAAATTTTCTTTCGTTTTCATTTATATTAGATATAAAAAAGGGTAATTATGTAGCATCTGGTCTACCATCACTTTTAAGAGTGTGCATAAAGTTGCTTGTAAAATGCTCCAAAATAGTTTATAGTGAACTTTTATTTTATTTTTAATGATTCAAGCACACTTTTCTGAACATTATAATTTTTTTATAAGTTTTACTGTCTCTGTAACCAGCCCTTACCATATATATTTCATATTTCTTGTGAATGTTCATATCACCACAGAAATAAAATTAGTAGCTTTTTCTATACATTCTAAATACATTTAGTTTTTTTTAGAATAACAGAAATCTTTAATTAAATCCAAAAATTCTAAAATAAAAAGGAAGCGTGTTGAAAAAAGAAACTGAATACATAAAGAGAGAAAATTATTCTTCAAAGCTATATACAGTTATTATTATGTAAATTACCCAGTTGTTTATAATTTCAGCCTTTACTATAATTTTCCATTTCTATTTCCTCACCAGAATGCAAATCACTTAGACATTTTTTAAACTGAGGTTTTTGGAATGTAAGACAGAGTATGTTTCTGACCTCCTCTTTCTTGCTGCATTAGTTCCTGCCAGCTCTGATAATTTGTAATTATCAGTCTTTGCATTATCTCTGCCAACATTGAAATTTGTTGTGATGATAAATTTACTGAGCCAGCTTGAATTTAAATTAAACCGTATAGTCTTTGCCCACTAGTCCACATTTTTAGTTTGAATTTGACTCATCTTAATTACATCACTATGAGCTGTAATTGATTTTTTGAGCGTAAGAACATGCCTGTATGTTCTAAGTTCTTTTTTAATAAAAAGCTTATTTAAACATTTGTCTGACTTTGTAGTTACTTCCAGACATAGCGATTATAAGCGGCATAATTTATTTCACATCTGTCTGTCAGGGGAGGTTTGGACTATTAAATATTTACCAAATCAAGTAAACCCTCATAGGTACATTGTGGTGAGGTTGACAAGTTATGAGATAAAGCACTCAGAAATTAGTGAGAACATTGCTTTGCATATTGAGACAAATTCTAATTCTTAGAAAAGGTACTTAAAGAAAAGGAAATCGATATAAATTAGCCAAAATGTTTGTGAAGCCTTCAAATTAAAAAGACTCATAGATATTTTTTGAGTGTTTTTGTTTTAATGTGTAATTATCTTAATATCGTTTAAAAGTTGTAAATTACATGCATTTTAAACTGCGAAATTTTATTAGATTGTGATTTTAATAGGGCTTAATTTAATACTGGTCATGTAAATCCTACCTAATTTAACTATTTATAACTAACTGCTTATCCATAAAAACTATCTCTGCATATTAAAGCGAGTCATTGCCTTTCATAAATCCTAACCTTGTCACAAGATAAAACACAAAAATTTAAAAATTCATTTGAAACTTATTCTTCGCATCTGGTGATACAAAACAACATATCATAAAACATAATACAAAATAACTTATCACCTCTGGTGCTTTAATGCTTTATTGGAAACTTAAAGTATATTAACTGGGTTACAACTCCTGAAACTCTACACGAAACTACGACACTAACTGCATGAAACAGAGCCTGACTAACTTTCAACACTTGCCAACCGTAACTAGATCAGGCCTTTCAGGTTTGTCCTAATCAGCAGGTCTCTCTCTAGACAAGCAGCAGCAATGACAACATTCAGTCTTTTGTTATGAATCATGCTTATTATGATGTTACTTCTCATTTTAACCTATGCCATTTGACATAAAATCTACCTGCTATTTACTAAACCTCTATAACCAAGTATGTGACAAAATGAGACCACAAAAAAAAAAAAAAAAAAAAAATCAACATAAAGTTAACTGTTAGTAAAACGTAAAAGTCACTTATCTTCTTTCAAATATATTCAACTATTATAAGTGTAAAATATTTAATGCTACTTGATAAATTGCTTAAAGTTTATTTTATTCTCAAACTTATTTATAATTATGTTAATTAATTCATGTTTGGTAATAATGCATTCTACTTAAGGATCTATTTTATTTTTAGGATGATATTACAAAAGTGAAATTCAGGCATAGATAATATTTTTAATTGAATTTATTCAGTTCCCATTTGTTAATAGTCCTTAAATTTTTTCATTAATGGTCTTTAAAAGTACTTAATTTCCATGTGCAGAAATGTGTACAAAAAATGTACATATAAAAATTTTATGTAGCTGCAATCATATTTCTTTAATTCGTGTTTGTATGGCATATTTTCTATTAATTACAAACAAGGTGTTAAAAGTAATTTTGTATTAAAAGTAATTCATCTGAATTTTTGACAATAATTTATTGTAAGGAATTTCACATGCTGTTTCCTCAGTACTGTGTACACTATTTTCTAGCACAAAAAACCCTTAGTTACAAGCTACTCGGTGATAGAGACAGAGATGAATTATGAAGCAGTAAATCATGTTAATTGTGTTTAAAAAATATTACCTAAGATGCAGTCAATTCAAAATTGTTTTGGTATATGCCTAAAATTGAATTGTATTGTATATGAAGCTTTGCTTGCGGTCAACAGCCTTATTTTCAACAGCAATTTGGAAATAGAATGTAACAAAAATTGGTACTCGCATGTAATTGCAACAATCTTTTGCCAAAGTTTGAAATTGCTAAATTTTCAGAATGAGCCAAACTTTGGCAACCATGTGCATAACCATTCTTCAGGCAATTATGCTGATAACAATCTTTCAGTTAAAAAATGTCACAATTTTCGTATGCATTCTTTATGCTGTACTATAAGTTCCAATGATTTTTATAAACAAGCTGTGATATTTTTTTTATTTAACTTTAAAATATGCACTTATGGAATTTGCCAGCAGTGAAAGAAACTTCAGTAAAATTTCTGCAGCAATACAAAGTTTTGTCTCTAAAGAGAGCAACAAAGAAATGCATTTGGTAGATAGCCTAGGTTTAAACTATGCCAAGTCTTTGCAAATCTCTGGTTTTTTTAGATAAAAACAGAACTCTGTGTGCTTAGGGAGAAGAATGGGAGAAAAAGATTACAGGAAGATTTGGAGATGAATGTAATTATTTTATTTTTCAATGTCTCATGTACCTTATTTAACAATTAAAATTTGTATTTCAAATTGCTAAAGTATAGTGATTTTCCGTATCTTGATAATGTTTGTAAACTTACAATAAATATTGATGGTTTAAGAATGTTTTTTAAGAAAAGTAGCTAAAACCACCAACCTCCACCCGATAAGTAACTTTTACCTTTTCATCTGTATAAATTGCCAGATGTCGCTAAGGTGGTTGGGTTAATATATAAGTGCCAGAAAATTATTTGTAATGATTATGTAAATATTAACAACTACTTGTTTGAATATAGCAAATCATCCAGAGGCTATCTGCTTTATGTCTTATATTTTCAAGGAAAACTTCAAAAAGGGAAATTGACATATATTAACTTCATACGTGAGGAAAACCTAGAAAGCCAAATTCCAAATAAGCTATCATGTAAGCACTGCTGTGTTTGGATGATATTATCTATTTTATTACCAAACGTATAAAACTTATTGTGTTCTAGAAAGATGTTTCAAAACTAAGAATATCTCTATTGTATAATTATATAAAATATTGTATTAATTCAGAGGTTATCTCATTCTGTAAAACAAAAAAGAAGAGAAAATACTTTTGCTATGTGTGAAAATATAGCTTTAAACAGGAATATGTCAATGCAATTAAGGAAAAATGGAAAAGAAAGTTCAGTATTTTTTTTCTATTAATTGTTTACTGTTTATCTACTTTAATGTTATTTGTTATTTTGACAGAATTTTCAAAAAGATATATTTAACAATATTGATTTCAAAAGTATGAACTTGTATTTGAATTGTTTTGGGCTATGAAAAGTAATTTCATAAGAATTATGATGCTGTTATGATTTAAAATAATTTTCCTTGTTAAATATAATATATATAGATATATAGTTATTTCTATATGAAGGATGCACAGTAAGTTTTTTGTTTGTTTGTCCCAAATGCAGAAATATCTAGGTGTGGCTATGTGCTGTGTATTAGCTCTAGTTGGTATGCATATACTGTGTATAAATGTTACAAATAGTCTTCTACTGTGTTGTTAAAATCATTCAGAAAATCTTTGTAGAGACTTTGTAGAGATAAGAAATATTAAACATCTTAACTCATACATCAAGGAAAATTCTAGGGGGTCTTTTAAATCTTTCTATCAGCCAAAAAAAGAATTTATATTAGATATCTCTAAATCTAAAATATTAAAAAAATTTAATGTTTAATAAGTTTATTTTGCTACTGTGTAAGTAACCTCCTTTGTGTATGCTTAAGAAGCTTGTATTTAATCTCTTAAATTAAGAGCTTAATGGTAAAAAGAACTTAAATGGAACATTGCAAGATTATAAGTATTACTATCAGTGTAGAAAAGTGGAAAACAATTTTAGTGTCTTTAACGATATTACTGTAAAATATTGCATAAAATGAGATTACATTAAATAGTTTTATATTCTAAAATGCTTTAAAAAAAGCCAATTTTTATGAAGACAAAGCACTGGAAATATTTATGGGTAATAAAAATTGTTAGTCATGCTCACTGTCAAGTCAGAATCTTTTTTCTCAACAAAGGATTACCCAAAGATTTCATTTCTGTAGCACAGTTGATCGCATTTTTGGGGATAATGGCTACAGGAAATCTAAAATTTCTCTGTTACTATGATCTATAAATGCTGCATCTTAAGTTTTCAAAAACTTTGCCAAATTTGGTACTTATCTCTCTAAATATTAGTAAATTTAACAGATTTTGAAACTGGATGTTTATTCAGATTATTAGTAATTAATTAGTGAATGGTTATACACATAAAATTTCTTATATTAAAATGCAACAAAATTGTTTTATATATAAATAAGAATAAATATATAAAAATATTGGCACAAATTCACATTGGCTGAAATATATGCATAAAAAGGTCTTGATAAATTTATAATGACATGAGTTGGATCCATAGCTTTAAATTTGTAGTGCACAAGGCCAGGACCATCTTAATAAAATAACTGCCTTTTTATGCAAGATCCATATTTATTGCATATCCAGTTACATATCATTTATTGCTTTATTGTACTGTTATCTGTAGGTTGAACGCCTCAATAGTACTATTTCGTATGTTATTGAATTCGAACAAATTATATTTTTACTTTTTTATTATTTAACATCCAACTTTGGTACTTTTGCAAAGCTAATGTAATGTATTATTGTATAAATATTGCATACATTTGCAAGAGTTATACACTATACTGACATATAAACGTTTATATTTTTCCAAATTTTCAAATTCATTTTTAACATGCTTTGAAGTGTGTGCATTTAATTTTAATGTCAAAGTAATAAATTATATGTTTTGTACGTACATTTGTATTTCACATACAATTAATATTTTTGGCAGCATGTAGCATGTGACGAATACGAAGAAACAGCTTTTGCAAATCTGACTAGAAAATCAGAAAGTGAGATATCTGATGTTAAACAAGAACTTTTGGACAAACAAGCATCAACTTTTGAGCAAATTTATGAACAAACAAAAATGTCAGCATTCAATCAAAAAGATTCAGATTTGATTTCAAGTGCAAAGGTATTATTTAATTTAAAATATATATTACTTACATTAGGAATGTTTTCATAAAAAATTTTGTACATCATTTTCATCATTAATCAAACTTAATGCATAATGATGCATAGTATAAAGTGACCACATTTTCATTGAGACAAACCGGGACAAATAAAATGAATTTAGAATTTTAATTTATTTATGAAAGCAGACCAATAATTCAAAAAAATATGTTTTATTGTATATATATTCATATACTTTTCTATAATTATACAAAACTATATTATTATTAACTATTGGTAACTATAAAAATATTTGTAAAAACAATAATTTGAATATATTATGTTTTTTAATTAATTTAATATTTTATTTTTAAATATTGTAATTTTCTTTCATGGTCATATTTTTTATCTCTGAGTGAATACTTTGCAATAGATTCGCATCATTTATTAAAATGTCATGAAATTTCTCACATGAATTGGTCAAATTATATTTTAGGCTTAATACAGATTTTAAAGTTTTAATGTTCAACTGCATTTTTTCAATTGCCCGTATTTTATTGATACTAGAAAAACATGTTTCGTTTGCTGCATTTGTTTTTGGAAGAGAGACCGCATGTTCTAAAATTTTCAAAATATTTTCATAAGGAATATTATTCTGTTTAAAGTGAAGGAATAACTCCGTCCATTTTTGTTTGTTTCCACATTTGCAGACAACCAACATTTAAGTTTTTCATCAGTAACATATCTTTTTTCCTCATCAAAAAGATCATTTTCGCAAATATTATTTTTCGGAAAATGGTTGCAAATGTATTAAAAAGATTTTTTCTACATATTCCTTGCATGACAAATTTTTTGTTGTACAATATTTTGATCATTTGTGACGTACAATCAATTGATCTGAAACTTTGTGGTTTATGGTCTGGAAAGCAAATAGCCCATCAGCTAATGCTAGCTGTTCCTTCGTTAACAATACATATTCGTTGATGAGACGTAACGACAATGATCAAGCACCACCCAGTAAATCTAACTCGTTACATCGCCTAATTTAGTTTACTGTGCATGCATTTTATGTGGTTTTTTCTTTCTTTATGTTCACTATAATAATTGATAAATAATAGGTAATCTATTTTTATACATTTAAAATAAGAAATGCAGATGTTTTCTAAAAAGCGGGACGTTTTTAAAAATCGGCGGGACATGGGACAGTCCTCAAAAAAGGCAGGACTGTCCTGCCAAAATCGGGACGTGTGGTAACTTTAGCATAGTAGATTGTTTAGTGATTTTAAGACTGTGACTTTTTTTTGGGGGGGAAGGTTGATGGCAGGTTGTAAATTTTATCTCCCCCCCTCTGAATGAGACTTTTTTACTATAATATCAAATCCTGCTGGCAAGCGGTGGTTCATAAAATACATGTAAATAAATCCATGAAAAATAAATATGAGGTATAACCCAATAATAGTTAATAATATTTTACATCATAAAGTTATTGTATGTGTAAGTATATTTATTTAAGCCAGTTTATTATCCTTACTTACTTTTTTCTGTGGTTCCTTTTTATAAACTGTAATGCAACTTAGTACTTGTGGTCATTAAGTGCATTTTTATTTTATTGTTATTACACAGTAAAAATTTCCCTTTGAAGTAGTAAAAATTTCCATCTAATAGCAACTAATCCAGTAACTGCTCTGACTAAAGAGCTGTTGATGGCCTGTGTGATAACTGTATCCATGTAAGTGGTGCATTGATGATTGTACGAATATGGTCAGTCAAGAAATACTTTGAGTTATAAATTTAATAATTGAATGGCATCCATAAAGGGAAAACATCAATAAAAATAATTTAACCCTAACATGTACTTTACTGTAAAGAAAAGTTTTCTTCTTAATTTTATTTGAATTTTTCTTCTTAATAACTAGTTTCTTAATTTTCACATGTTATGCTAGATTAAAATTATTCATTATTTATTTATTACATAACTAGAAAGCCTGGCGGTCATACGAAATGACCGCTGTTCTAGATATTGTAAATTGTAATTAAAATGATTTGTGCAAAGGTGTCTGCTAATTTAAACTGAATTACCCAGGGCAGGCGGCGAGGATGCCCCTTTGTTTACTGTCCCACGGGGTTCCCCCTTCTACTTGCTTAATTGCCTAAAGTAGAGCGCAATGAAGGAAACCACTGGCGGTACATTTCTAGCCCACCGCTAGCTCAATCAATAAAGGTGATTTAAACAATGGAATGTTAATTCACATGTCAAAGATCTCTTTGCACACAACATTTCTTGTGTAGATCTTTCTATCATTTGTAAGCTCGTCTTGCAGAGGACCATCCATTATTTTTAATTTTACGTCCGTTCTTTCACGAACTCTTGAACAGGCAACATAAAGTTGACCGTAAAGGTAAAAAAATGCCAACATGCTTAAGCATTTGGCCCTGAAATTTATGGATAGTCATAGCAAAGGGAAGTTTTACAGGACGGCGCGCAATGAACTGGAAGTTTATCTGTCAGCACTATCCTTATCTTCAGGGCAGATGTTTTTATTTTATTCGGCTTATAATTCCTTACTAAATGTAGTATTTCATCTCGATGTACTCCGTCTTTGATATGATTTAAATCAAATTCCTCATCATTATAAATATCACGAATACACATCAAATAGATTTCTAGTTGCAATTTTCTAATTTCGACTCTGCATAATGTATGCTTTACGCATGCGCGCGTTGAATGAAATGTTTAATAAAGTAAACAAATAAATATTAAGCTTTTTTTAAAAAAATTGTTGATACCCTTTAGATCATAATTGCTCTTTATTTCATAAATTATGGTTTCATATTTTTAATTTTATAATTTCCGCATGCCAAACTGATGATCTATAATCCGGAAAAACCGATAATCCGGAATCGCCGAAGTCCCAACGAGTCCAGATTAAAGACTTTTGACTGTAGGTATATTGTAGCTCTTCAGCTTAAAACTGTGTCTGGTGATAAATAAAAATTATTTTTAGTGTTGGACTTTGTCATTGTGCTTCAGCAAATGACAAAAATTTTAATAAAATGAATGTTTTTTTTTAATTTTAGGCTTGATTTTATTGCTTATTAAGTGCTTTCAAAAATATTTTACTGTAAAGTTCTCTAGAATTATACAGGGTTTGAGTGAAATCATTTGAATCCAAGAATAAGCACTACTTTAGTTGGTTTCAGTTTCTTGTTGTATACTCTCTTCCCCCCCCCCATGTTTTGAATTCAAAGACATGTTGCAACTTAATGATTGTATTAAAATGTTTGTTTCAAATAAATTTATTAATTCATTGGCAAACAGGGAAAATTTTCTTCTCTCATTTGCCTGTATAAAATTCATTTGGTTATACAGTCAAAAGTCTTTAATCTGGACTCGTTGGGACTTCGATTCCGAATTCTCGATTTTTCCGGATTATAGATCATCAGTTTAAATCTGGTTAGATGGCATGCAGAAATTATACAATTAAAAATATGAAATCGTAATTTATGAAATAAAGAGCAATTCTGATCTAAAGGCTATCAAAATTTACAAAAAGAAAAGCTTATTATTTATTTGTTTACTTTAATAAACATTTCTTTCAATGTGCGTATGCGTAAAGCATACATTATGCATAGTCGAAATTAGAAAATTGCAACCAGAAAACTATTTTTATGCGTATTTGTGATATTTATAATGACGAGGGAATTGATTTAAATCATACCGGAATACATCGAGATGAAACACTACATTTAGTAAGGAATTATAAGCTGAATAAAAAACATCTGCCCTGAAGATGAGGATAATGCTGACAGATCAACTTCCAGTTCATTGTGCACTGCGACTCTCCCCGCTGAGCATCCTAAATTGATAAACAGATTTCGGAATGGTTAGAGAAACAAATCACCTCTCTGTCACTTTCTTCATGCCTTTATCCATTTTTTGCAGTAATTCCACTTTTTGTTTAATAGACATTGAAACATGCTTTCGCTTTGTAAATCCTTTGGCAGCTCCAGAATCGGAAATTCTATTTGACATAATGAAATGTTCAAGCTTACTTTTATAAAATTGCTCTAACAGTCTGCAAAAAATAATAAGCCGGATCCAGTTAGAAGATTAAGGAACAGCGCAATCTGCAACATTAACTGAAATAGATAATTAGATAATTTTAGCTTAGCTTATACCGTCCGTTATACATTAAACACGCATGCGTAAACGTATTATGCATGTGCGTAAAGGTATTATGTGCATGCGTCAATGCATAATGCGTTGACGCAGGCACAAGTTTGTAGCTTTGAGGTCCGGATTATGGACGTCCAGATTAAAGGCTTTTGACTGTATTATCTGTACTAAATATTTTTATAAAATCAGCATCAGACAACTTCTGGTTTTTAATTTAACTTAATTTTTTAACTTTGCTTTAAATATTTACATTGTATATGCTAAATTTCTCCCCTGAGTCATATGCCAATAAATTATTAATTATATTTTTATTGTATTTAAGAAATTTTAATAACTAAAAACTTTTCTTTCCTATTTATATCAATGTAAAATTTTGATGAAATTACTAAATGGAATTAGTTAGAAGTCATAATATAAAATTAAACTTAGAATAGTCAATAAAATATATATTAAGTCATTATCTTTTACTTTGGAATCATGTCATAACTAATTTTTAATCTAAATAATTCTACTAGAAAGGTATTTAAAGCCAGATTTTGTTTTGGTTTGGATTCCTTTTAAAGTTTCATTACCACACAGTTCGAAATCTTATAATTTTTGTATTCTATCTTCATGTGTAATAAACCCATTTTGTATATACAGTTTGTATGCAGACACATTTTCATTAAGAGAATGTTCAGGAAAATATGGTTATTAACAGCAATTAACTTGTTTTAGAAGAATCTATGTGTCATTTTATTCCTATTTTATAATGTATTCATATGTTTTTTTTTTTTTTTTTTAGCTGCATAGTTTATATTGTATCTATAGAAGAATTCGAAGTCATAACAAGGCTCTGATATATCAGAAAAAATATTTACTCAAACTTTTGGCTTATTTTGAAACCACAGAAAATTTTACACTGGCTTGGTTGAACAATTTGGCCATTAATAGTCCTGTGGATCAAAGTAGCAATTCATTAAAATCTGCAACGATAATAATCAATGGAAAATTTCGTTTTCGTTCAATGGCTTTTGCTGTAGTTGCTGTGCATCGCATGAAGTTTGCTGTTAGATGTCATCGACTGTTATCTAGAGTTCCTGCTGCACGTGTTGTAAATGTTGAAATACAGTCCATTTTCCAAAAATATCCCCATTTTTCTCCTACAGTAACACCAGGTAAGAATTGTAATTTTTGTATTTCTAAGATCTTTATTATTTTAGAATACCCATTTAAAATATATATATATAATTATAACGATATAACACATTTTTATTTTAAAACAAATTATCTCAGTATCATTTCTGTGCACATGCTGCTGAAAATTAATCAATTATAGACAAAAGAACGAAATTTAGAACCAAATCCACAAAGACATGAAATTCAAAACCAATAAATCTAAAATTTCCCATAAATATGTAAAAATCAGCCAATAATCATCAAACCAATAGGAATACAGAGAAAGGAAATACAAAAATAAAAAATATATTTATAGCAAGAAGAATGCAATTAATAACTGATTCAACGTCATCAAGAGAAGGTAGATCAGATGTAATTGAACCCCTCTCACTGCATCAAAATCACTGCATTTCTGTTAATCCAAAATTAGCTGATGAACCATTCTTGAAATGTACGAGGCATGATTATTTAAAAGTGTAATCAGCGCGGCCAAATTATTAAATGATAATTCTGAATTATGTAAAACAGTAAGTTTTTCCAAAACATAAATAAATTCTTTTCTTTCTGAAATAGCAGTGAAGAATTGAAAAGTGAAAGTCATGCAGGTTACAGATAACAGACAACTCTAAAGCATCGTCGTTTTTCTACAAAATGTGGACAAACTTAAAAAATAACCTGCATCCACCTACAAAGTCCATAGGGACAACTCAACTTTAAAGGATTGTTCTTCCCCCCCCCATCCATAAAATGGACCAAACTAAAAAATTGGCCAAAATGTGAAGATAAATTTTTCACATTTTATTGGTTTAGTTAGATTGTATTTGTATATTTTTTTAATTAATTAACTCAGACATTATTTTACAGATGGATGTCATTTATCAACAGTCTCTTTATCATCTAAGTCTGCATCTATTAGTGAGAGTTATGAACAATGCAGAAACAGTGCCACTTCCATAGAATCTAGGTTAGTATAAAATTCTGATTTCCTTTTGCATAAAAATCCAAGAACAATCATGCTCCCCAAATGATCATGCTTTAAGAAGCTAAGCAAAATGATTGTTTTGAAGTCAAACTTAGCAAAGTAACATAGTATTATTATATTTCATAAATATAAAGGAAAAATTCAGATAAAACTTGCTTGATGCAATGAACTAATCCATCAAATAACACATAGTAGGTGAATACAGTAAACAAAAGGAAAAGTTGTGCTCTGTTTGTTTAGCCTATATTTTAAAATTAACTTTAAGTGTAAAATTTATAAAGTTAAAAAAAAATACAGCTGCTGAACTTTTTATACTGTATTTAAACATTTCATTGTGTTACATTTTCACACACACCCACCCACCCCAAAAAAAAGAGCTAGAGAGAAAGATAGAAAAAGAAGGGGGAGAGAAAATGCAACAAAAATGAATCAAGGTGTTTGAATGGCGCTCAAAATTTTGATATTGTACAATTTACCTTAGTTTGTGATCACTTTCCCTGGATATGCTTAAAAGATTTCAGCATATGAAAATTCAATCCATATCAAATCAGCATCAAAAATAAATTTTCCTTATGATGTTGAATATAATTGAAAATTTAATTTGAGCTGTTTTGCAGTTGGCTTCTGATCTAGTTTCACGTTTGAATAGCATTTTAACATTGTATTAAAAAAATACCATTTATTTGTAAAGAAGGTTGATATCTATACCTTGTTCATTTTCTTCATCACAATAGTTATTCTTTAAAAAAAATTAGCTACTCAATGATACCTCAGTATGCATCCGCTTTAAAATAAGTCCAACTTGATATGTAACCTGTTTGAATGCGAGAATTTTTGTTTGGTGTACAATATTCCTTTGGAACATGACATGAGTTTGATGATTGTGCTCAATACTCAAACAGGGTTCGTAGTGGTCCTTATAAGTGCTTATAAGTCCTTATATTTGAAAATAAAATATAAAGGCCCTTATAGGTGCTTACTTTTTCTTTAAAGCCCTTATTTTTTTGTTTTTAGTGCTTTTTTTTTTTTAATGAACGCGCTATTTTCCCCCGTACCAAAGCCGAAACTAAATAAAGAACTTTTCTTCCTAATATGGAATGTCAGATGGTGAGTCATACTCCCGGAAATAGCTTTTCCCCCCTTTCTCTGCATTAACATAACCTTTGGTGTTCACGAAGAGTACAGACAGGTGCCCGTCGTTCTGTTGGTCAAAGAATTGCAAAAGCAGTAGAAAATTTCGCTACATTCAGCATTCTTTTCCTCCCACCCAAATACTACACACGTTTGAATTTCTATCAAGATCTTAAAAATTTGCATTCTCGTTCCACTTGGTCAGTTCATATTCGTGTTTATTATGATCGTTATGCTTATATTATGAGCATATGTATGAATGTTTATAATAAAATTGTTGCAGTAACTGCTGAAGTATAGTAAACTTCCAAAAATGGTTGTGTTTTAACACAGATTAGCTTTCTAAGGAATAATATTCGGAATGGTTTAAATAAAGGGGAAGTAATCGAATAGTCAAAATAATTTCATTTTTTTGGCCAATACCAATTTTGAATATTGAAACTGTTACAGTTCGCTGCAAAACAAGCAACGGACCTTTTTTTTTTTTTTTTTTGTCACTTTCCAACCTGGATTGAATAGGACTAAAAGTTCTGCAGTCTACCAACCCAAGCGAAGAAAGATTCTATTCCGGAAATTTAACGCCATCTGTTGAAAATTAGAATGAAAAACACACCAGTTATTTAGTTCTTTATTCTCCCAATACCGGCAGTTGTTGATTCCGATTGCATAATATCACGTAGGGAAGAATTACGGCGCACGTATTGCACAATAATGTTTGTGATATTTTGCAGAGATAATTAATTTTTATGTTCAGTCCGAGATTTGTTTATGAACACTTAAAAGAGTTTTACTGTGCTAAGCAGAATATTTTTTAGTTCCGTTGGTTCATTTTTAAATGATGCACATATTGAAATGTCAAAAGCATTTATTTAGCGGAAAAATCTAAGGAGAGGCTACAGTCTACCCCCCCCCCCCCCCTCCGCTCCTTCAAGTTACGCTCGACTGTCCGAATATTCGCCAATTTCCAAGTATGTGGGTTAGTTAAGCTTTTACTGTTAAAGATGAGTGCATGAAGAAAATTTCTGTCTTCTGATTTCAGAAATGTTCCTCTTTTTTACTTAAATTACTTTGCTTGCAATATCTGTTAAGAGAAAACTGATATACAATGAAAATTTAGAAAATGTTCAGAATTTAGATTTAAATTATTTAAATATCAATATGAGTGGAAAGATAAATTGTATTTATTATTGGGTTCCAAGCGAATACAATAAATATGCCTGATTATTATTTATTTTCTCTATTTTGAACTGAAATTTCATCATTAAATCTTGTAATATAGTTTAGTTCTTCATAGTTTTTTTTTTTTTTTTTTTTTTTTTTTTTTTTTTTCCTGTCATTGTAAACTAGTTTTTTGTAAATTGAACTATTATTTAAAATTAAAACAAGAAAAACAAAAAAAATAATTTTTCCATGGTTTAGGTAATGCTTGTTTCTCTCTTAATAAATACTGTTCTCTCTTAATAAGTACTTCATTTCTCATATTTTAAATTACAAGTCTAATTTTTAAGGTTATGCAGTTGTGTATGATGTAATTAGACAGGTGCTTATTTTTTTTTTTTTTTTCTTAAAATGTGCTTGAAAAGTACTTATAGGTGCTTATTTTTTTAACTAAAATGTGACTATGAACCCTGTCAAGCTTACTTCTTTCGAGCCAATACTATGACTGCCCATGAGCATCACTGCGCCTATTGCTACTATTTAGTAAACAACCCATACTGTAACTTTGAATCTTGATGTAATTTTGTGTTATTTCACTTTTTTTTTTTTTTTTTGTTGTTGTTTTTGTTGTTGTTGTTGTTGTTGTTACTGTTGTTAGTTCATTAACAATGAGTTTTAAGAAAGTTAATGTGAAGAGTTAAACAACAAAGAAAAAAAAAGGAGGCAGTGAAAAAAAGAGATTGTTGAAAAGTATGAAGATGGCGTGCATACTATTGCATGACAAGAATGACAGTATCTAAGATGTTCAAAATGTAAAGACACTGTTAAATCAGCTAACATTATGAAGAAGGTGAATTTAGTTACCAAACAATGATTAGAGTGAAGATGGCGTGCATACTATTGCATGACAAGAATGACAGTATCTAAGATGTTCAAAATGCAAAGACACTATTAAATCAGCTAACATTGCGAAGAGGGTGAATTTAGTTACCAAACAATGATTAGAGCATGCTAATAAGTTGCTTTTGATTAGGATAACAGAAAAATATGGTACTTTTCCGTTTTGCCGGCGCAAGCGATAAAGTCGCCAATAATGGTACAACCGATGCCAAACGGAATATTCTCGCTGGTAACCTTTTACGCCTCATTTTCAAAACAAGTCGCAGCTTTTTCTTATCAGATTGATTGTTTTTTTCAATACTGGCATATAATTACATAGAATTTTTATCGGATAGTTCAGTTTTATATCTAATGCCTTTTTCGGTAATTAAGACAATTAGGATGCAATCACAGCGCTTACCTGAAGCCGAAAATATAGAAGAAAAGGTAAAGTCAAGGGGTTAAATTCATCCATTCTAATGAGAATGCATTAGCGAAGTAAAGCACTACAGTTTTGCATATATTTCTGAGTAAGCTATTCGTACGAATTGAAATATTTCTTGCATTTAAACATGTGTTCCAAATTAAGATTTAACTTGAAATTAATGTAGATAATTACTGAGAGCATAAGATTTTTTGTAGAGTAGGTTACGTGAGATGAGATCGCTTGGGGTCACGTGATATGAACCGGCGAATCAGGATGTTGAACCATGAAAGCATAGTAAATTCTTAATGTCTTTTTAAAAATTTATTGGCTTTTTATAAAATTTTAAGCGATATTAAGATGTTTATGCCTTCTTTTTTTAAAAGAATTCTTAGAACTAACATTTTTTAAAATATTTTTATGTGTATACTCTATGTTGTCGCCAATAAAGTCTGCTTGGCGAGATTTGCGCCGACGAAACGGAAGAGTACCAAAAATATTTATGTACACTAAGTACTTCACCCTTATATTTTTGTATTAAAGAGTGTTATAATGGTAATAATAGAATATTTTATAAGAATGGATTAATTATTTTCCCTTTATTTCTTAATGAAAAAGTTTGTTTGGTATACATCCAGTTTGGTGCAAGTCCAAGGATCCAAAACAGTTTCATGTTATATACTAAGGTACCAGTGCATCATTGTATAGTTTAAGGTTTAAAATTAAATTCGAGATTCTTAAATGGGACTAACTTTATAAGAAATTGTATAATATATGTATATAAAGAAGAAAATGTGTTTGTTTGCTAATAACTCAGTCACTACTACAGCTATTATCACCAAACTTTCTACAATTCTTTTCTGGGTTCTGGAAAAGTTCGATGTCCACTTTTTTCCAAAAAGAATTAGCTAAAATCAGAGATATTGATTAAAAACTCAGAAAAATGATAATTTTCACCTTCATTTTTTCGAATGGCAACAGTCTCACAAGCTGGACTGCTTTATTTTGAAAGTTGTTGCCACTGTTCGCTTTCAAATCCTATCGTTAATAATATTTTCAATTTCTAGTTAATAAAAAATTTCAAAGTTTTAGGATGAAATAAAAATAGCATTGCCTTTATATTATTCCCGATTCCAAAAATTTATGGGAAACCATTTCGACTATTCCCATCTTCGTATGACTTCGACGAATAATTAGCAGTAATATTAATTAAAAACTCTAAAAGTGCTAATTTTTGCACTCATTTTTCTCAGTGGCAACAGTCTTGCACGTTGAAGATGAAAATGCTTTATTTCAAAATGTGTTACTACTGCTCGCTTTCAAATAGTAGAATTTGTTAATTAAAAATTTGTAAGTTTTAGAATATCTCTATATTTATATGTATAGATTT